TCCGGAGTTCTTATTTTGAAAACAGACAAGTACTGTGATTCGAAGGGAGCTCTGTGTAGTATCGCAACACTTATCTCTGACACAGACGTACGTACTGTACGCACAACCGCCTACACGGCTGTGATCTCTTTGCAATTTCACACTCGGTCCTCAGCCTGCTTTGCTCTGTTTGGGACATATGCACACCAGTGTGAGTTTGTGACCCAGGTGACAGTCTTAATGGGTGGACAGCTCTGATGAAGGACGTCAATAACCCAGCCGGGTTTGGAGAGAATAACCCTTTGAAAAGCCTTGCCGACTTCCTGTGTTTGTGTCCCGTGTGGGACAGCTCGACAGACTCTCGACATCAGTCATATTAACCACCAGCTCTCTCTGGCCTCGCCTGCACTCAAGTTCAAAGCACTACCTGGATAAACATCTTCAAGAGGTGCATTAGGCAACCGCTCTCTGAACAATAAGGGAAGACCAGGGAATGCACAGATCAGAAGGATCAAGTGTCCTCGCTGATAACCTCTATAATTACCTGCAGTTTAGACATGTATTCTTGGAAAGTGCACTTTTCGAGAATTGCTGCGCATCATAGAGACGTCTTCCCCCCCACAAAAAAAATAAAAGAAAATTCAAATGAACAACATGTAAACGGTCTGAAAAAGGCAGAGGCTCTGGTTTCGACAGCAGGTTTGGGTAGCTTGATCCCGACTCCCCCAAACCTTTGCATAAAGAGCTTCCTCCTGTCGTCTGCTTGAAATACACTTCCACGTACTGTCCGCCTGAGTCCCCTGAGTTCACAGCATTTCACCTTTAACTGTGAAGACGTCACCAGAACTGACAGACAGTTACAGTGTGGGTGAGGATTTTGAATACTTGAATCAGGCCTTCTCATCATTTTCCCTGTTACATACTAAAAGTTTCAGTTCTTTCAAGCTGAAGATTTAAGGAATTTACCTGGGCTGATTTCCTGTGGTTGGATTACAGCCCGACAGTATATTAAAGTAGTTCAAGCCAGGAGCTGCGTCAGCATGCGTAGGCTGCATAGGAACAAGTAGAGGTTTATTCCCTGCTGAAAAGAGGAGAAACGGAAACTTTGTCATTGAAGCACGGAACGTTTCGGCTGTGGAGCCTTCTTCGGGTGTGTCACATTATAACAGTGACCCAAACCAAAAAACTAATGAAGGATTTAATAGTATATTGGAACAAGTAGAGGTTTATTCCATCCTGAAAAAAGCAGAAAAGAAACACACCTGAAGAAGGCTCCACAGCCAAAACGTTTTGTTTCTTTTCTCCTCTTTTCAGCAGGGAATAAACCTTTACGCGTTCCTACTGTATGCAGCCTACGCATGCTGACGCAGCTCCCTACTTGAACAACTTTAATTGTATATTGTCTTATTGTAACACAACATTTGTTAAATTACTGTACGTTGCGCGTTTAACACTACACGTACCAACGTGCTGCTTGACTTTTTATTTCTTCCCTATGGTGTCTAGAAGATAAAAGTGTGTTTTTTTTCTATAAGTGGCAAGCTCGATGCGTCCTATGTTTACCATTCATCGTCTCTAACCTGTGCTCAAGGCAGCGGAAAAATTTAAAACGGGTCTTCGGTTCCACGTTTTGTTTTTCAGTTGTCCGCTTTTGGATCATCTATTTTTTCAAGCGTTTGAACTTTCTATTTTAACCCGCACAACGGCCCAGTTGGGGAGGGGAGGGGACTCCTGTTTGTGTCCGAACTCGGCTTTTAATATTTATTTGATTCTGTCAAAGCCCGCTCCAGAACAATGGGAATATTTACAAAGTCGGAATGCGAATTAGCCGTTCTGTTTAAGTGTTTTAACACTACTGGCTCCCAGGCGTATTATTGCTTTTTAAAGTCCTGTATTGTATTTCTTTCCTTTGCCAAAATGTGCTTCCTGCGCCTGGGCAGAGTTAACTGACAGTGACCCCCACCTTCCTCTGCGCCGCTCTGAGCTAGGGCTGCCACGAGCCCTGCAGACACACCTCAGGCCAGTCGTGGTCTCCTGCCGCCTCCACATCACCCAGGTCAAGACCAGAACTGTCAGCGGCTTCCTGGAGAGGCCGCCAACACAGACCACACCTGGGGAGATCGCCATGGGAACCCGGCGACCGCGCGAGCGGGGAGAGGGAGGTTCACAAACTTTTTAGGAGATAGCAGAAGAGAGCATTAGGTAATGTTTTCAGTTATTCCTGAACCCTTCGGGCTAGGGCTTTTTTTTTTTTTTTCTCTCCCCCGTTTTGTGTGTTTTTTGGGGAGACGTTTTTTTTTTTGCACACATATACATAGAGATTTTAGACTGGCGGTTTTATAACCGGGGTTTTCTCAGGGTGTTTGAATAAAAGAAAAAGTGTGCCTGTAAGAACCATAGTGGGCGCAGACTAGGAGCAAACTGTCATCTCGCAGCAAGCGAAAATACATGAATTTAAAAAACACCTTGTGGGCAGAATATTGAATTTGAAGGCCGAGTCCTTTTAAATCGAATCTATTGAAAGAACAGGGCAGCACCAACCAGAACAGCACCTAGAATTGGATATCTGGCACTATTTGAACAGTCTTTTAAACAGTCATAAGGATGACCAGTTTTTTATTATCTTATGTACAACCTTAGTCTTAGACATGGGTTTTCAGGGAAAACATTTTAATTTTATTTTGCAATACACAGCGCACCAGGGAAGTATTTCCTTTACCTGAGCTGACTGTGGTGGAACAAGTGACCGTATGCAATGCCAGTGTTATTAACTTTTTAAATGATCCGACTCACTTTTTCCAGGGATTATGGATCTCTACGGCCATAGAAGAGCTCCAAAGCAAAGATAATGCCCCATTTGTTAACAAATCATACAGATTACATTCAAAGGGAGTTCATTTTGCTTTTAGTTTATATTTTCACTGTCTGTCCCCCATGTGCGTAGTAACCACACTGCAGAAGAACTTCTCATCAGATGACAAGAATCTCCAAATTAAAAAAGGCATGTGCTTAAACGAATGACAAACCTCTGAGTGTATTTAAAAGTAATTGGAGGCAATCACAAGAACATTTTCTCAGGGGGCCAACTACTAACTATCCAAGCCTCTGCAAAGTCCCCCAGTCAGAACCAACAGCAATATCAGGGTGCATTATGAAACTATTATGTTAATTAATTCTCTCTCTTTGGTCAACCGACCATATCCAGTACCTGCTTAGAAGCAAACACAAATCAAGGAATCATTTGCTTCAGTGTACACAAAATACTTACTCCAATAATCTTGAGAAGACAGATCTTCAATAGTGTGCACTGCAAAAATTCAAGATTTAAATGCTTAACTTTTATTATACGAGTTATAAAAAACAAATGTGACCAAATGAGATTTGTTGGAAACAAATATCCCCTAAGGCACATGATACAAGACCACCATCATGTAATATGATTGCTAAAAACACAGGCCTCTCAATTAAAGTTGAACAAATTTCCAAAGGTCTGAATTTACATTAACATCCTCAAAATTAGTTTACTCCAAAAAAAAAAAAAAGGCTATCAGAAGGGTGAAGCACAACATGTTCACTTGATGGTTTAAGAATTTAAAGAAAGCCTGATGTTTGTGTAATGCTGGGATGTCTTTATTCAATAAAATGATCTAAAATGACTGAATCCTTTTGACTTCAAGTGTTAGGTTTCCCCTCATCTGATACAATAACCAAGGCACACAACATACTTTACTGCCAACGACAAAGACTAACGTGCCATTGCTTTCTGACTGCCAAGGAAATGTCAGAATAAATTCCACAAAGACGTTTTCAACTCAAGAGTTCATGCTGCCTTGCTCTAGTTTCATAAAGAAATGCCTTAAATTAAATGACAATTGACTAGTCCTAAGCAAAACCACTTTAGCATTACCTCTGCCCACACACATACGCATAAAGAAAACTTACATGATTAAATTGATCCTGCTTAGCTTGTTGGATGAAATTCAAAATCCTAATCCTTTCACTTGCTTGTTTTTATGCTCATGAATTTCTGATATCACCACCTTTGATTTAAATAAACACAACCCACTATGCCATATTGCGGATATCACATTTGTGTTTTTCAAGTGCAGCTTTCAAAACCTTTAATTTGTTTGTCGACAAAAATAAGAGATCACTATTGCAAATGCCAAAATGGCATAAGGCCAAAGAAGGTAACGAATTTCACCACATTTTTTAGACAAAAAGAGTTTTTAATAGTTTATTCAATCGAATCCAGAAGACACGGGGTAAATTTCTTGCACGCCAGGGAAACATATGTAATTGTACCAACTGTACAGTGTAGCAGAATCTTGATGAAGCTCTTCCCTCGAGCACTAATTACAGATTTAGCAATCTTTGAAACAAATATAAGCAGAACTGCATTCAAAGCTACAAAAAGCAGACAAAGGAGCTGCCAGCACAGGTTCAGCAAAATCCCAGTGATCTTTGAGATTTGCATTATAAAAGGGAAGTGCGCTGCAAATTTTTGGAGAGCACTTCTTTGAACATGTATTCTGTGTTACAAAGAGGTCCCCAGGTCTAAGTGAGGAAGTAAATTAAATATGTAAGGAAAGGAAATTGGTCAGAACCTTGGGATAATAACCTTGGTCGTCTTGTACAGATCCCTTAGGATTCTGACACAAAGCAGACATGTCTGACTTGAGGATGGCCCCTGCAGTGAAACAGAACCCAATTTTCTCGATTTCCCAACCTAGGCGCATGCAATTAAATTCAACACGTTGAAAACTGGACGAGGTACAAGTCTGTGGTGTTGGAGCTGGATTCGCCAGCACAACAGCCTGGAATATTTGAATTATTTTGAGGGAAAATATTAAAACCATATAAATGTTGTGGTTTAGGAAAAGGAAAATTATATATGGAGGTTAATTTTTATTTTCGAGTTTGGAAGGGATCGCTAAGATTATATTTATTTTGCCACTGGACTCACCTCAATTTCCAATATATAAACATATTCTTCAATTACAAATGACCACATGCCTGTATCAGTTTAAATTAAACTTCTTTATTTTTAGGAGAGGTTTTTTTCACATAAAGTAACCAGGAAAAAAAAAACTATATTGTACATTACAAGCTGTGTTTAATATGTCGTAGCCTAGTGTGGCAAGACATGAGTTCTTACAGGTTGGCAAGGAGAGATGACTCTTCACCAGTTCCAGAAGAAAAGCCTGCTGCCATATTTGGATGGCTGGAGCTCTCCCTCAATGGCAGGATTGGGCTCAGGTCTTGGTCTTGAATGGTATGGATTTTCAGGCAAAGGCCTGCTGGTCTGTACCTTGGTGACCTGCAAGAAAGAGATGGTTTCACATTGGATTAGATAAGATTTTGGAAGGCGTGTCACCTGAGAGGTTACGTAAAACAAAACACATACTTAACATGTTCACAGAAATTGCAATGATGCATAAGATATCCACTAGAATGAAAAAAAAAATTATCTTGCATTTCATGGAATGCAAGCACATAAAGTATTGTCAACTTTATATAACCGCCTTTCAAAGAAAAAAAAACCCCAGCAATTACTCAAATCATAAAGGTGGAAGTGTTAGGCATGTTAATGAATATAGGTTTGGAAGTGTTTTGTATTTAGGCATTATTAACATCCAGACTAGTTCACTATGGCAAAGCAACTGTCGATCAGGTACTGCGTTTCTAAAACACAGGTCGATGAAGGTAGTTGGTGTAGTTCACTGCTGATGAAGGTCGTCAATAGTACAATAATCCCAGCGTGTTCATTTAGTCGACGTAAATTATGACGAAATTGTTCATCAACGATCTGGTTTTTCGTTTGAGTTAAAGACTAAATGCTCACGAAAATAATCCACAATGAGGATGATGGAAACTAAATTGCTTTGCATTTTTGTTTGACCGCATGAAGAAGAAATGAAATGCCTTGTTTGACTAAAACTCATGCTGAAATGAATTTTGTCACACGAGGTCCACCGTTTGCACCTTTACTTTCTGTCTGGAAAATAGCAGGTTGGTTGTAACAGGTATGACTCTAGGGCTGGGGGTGTAGGCGAGTGCTCGGTGCCTCAGGGGCTACTAATGTGCGAGAATTACAAGTACCAGAGTGTGCCTCTTCTGTTGTTTCTAACTGTTCCTCGTTTACACCTGGTCTTTTCCACAGCTCATGTCATGAATTCGTATTGTTTGTTAATTGACTGGTACCCAGATAAACAATCAGATGCACATGCTGTACTAATTAGATTAATTATTAAAACCTGAGCACTTGCTTATAGAAAGAAAAGACGCAGAGATGCAACACATGCTTGTGGTTCTCCATGCTTTCAGCTAGAAGAAAGAACTGGAGTCTGGCAGTACATGATAAAGGATGAACAAACCAGGAAAAACTACTGTAAAACATTACTGAGGATAAACAGAAGGCAGCTACATTATGAGCTCAAAACTACAAAAAGTTTGAAGCTCCATGAGTCCCAGCACCCAGACACTTCTGCATAAACACATACCTTTTTTATATTGTAGCTAGTCAACTAACTAGAAAACTAAGCGGGAAAAAAAGCGTATTTTACAGTTTGCACATTAGGAAATTACTACTTTTTTGTCTTGGCTCGAGATTAATGTATAAGTAGTTACACTTTTAAAATCTGAGACTTAGTCAAATATGCTGTGTGTGCTACACACAAATAATGGCGCTCTGTCAGGAATCTGATTTGTGCTAATATTTTGTTTCAAAATGTTAAAATGAGTCAGTAAAATGCTTTTTATGCACTGTACATTTCACAGCATGTTAACAGCGATCAGAAAAAAAATGTTGTTTAATTACACATAGCTTATGTGCCTGGGTGTTTACACATGTTGGCGCTATTATCGTAGCGCTAACATCTTGTATCGCATGGAGGCATTCCGTCTTATTTCTTTAGAAGAATGTGTGAGGACTGAAAGCGCTGTGATACACCTGGAGCACAGGCATGTCTCTTTGTTAGCGTGATATGAGCACAACGTCACTGGCACTTACATTACTCTTAGACTAGGGCAGTTTTTTGAGAGAAATATTATGGCATCAAAACGGTTATTAATAATATACCAATGAGTTGAAGAATGTATATATTACTTGCCCTGCCCAGTTGCAATATTTGTAAGTAACTCATGCAGTAATTCCCCTATAGATGACTATATTCAGCATAGTTACAGTCTACTGAACAAATTTATAATAGTATTGCTTCAAAACTTTGAAAAAAAGGCTTTGAAAAAGAAACTAAAGTAAAAGTTGACTTTATGAAAGTAAAGAATTATTATTAGCAGTGCCAAAATAGTTTTTTTTATTAGTAAAGATTCATATGATGTCACTGTACATGATTATTACTCTCAATAAATATGCATTGCACAATTATTTCTTGTATTTGATATTTGACCCTTCTGGGGATCAGTACCCTTTAGACTGTGCAAGAGACTTATGCTTTTTGACAAACTCTTATCAGATGTGTTAAATATTTTCTTAGAAATATTTTATTATACCTTCATACATTTTATTATACAAATAAATTAATTTCATGGACTAAAATGTGACTAAAACTAATTTTGGTTTAGGCGACTAAAAGTAAGACTACACATAGTAGAAAAACTTTAGTTTATTAGACTAAATTAAATGTGGGTGACTAGAAAAAGACTATGACTAACAGACACTTGAGTCAACTTGACTAAGACTGACTAAATCAAATCAAAATCTGGTGACTAACACTGAATCTCAGTCTGATTACAATGTAATTGGCAAAAACAGAAAACATTTATAAAAGTGGTCTTCTGTAATGTATCACTAGAGTTGTAACACAAATCTCCAACATCCTGATTTGCAAACATCAATCGTCTGTGACACCTGTGCACGTGGGGAAAAAAATTGTCGGGAAGTGCAATGATGTTGGACGTTGGGTTGACAAAACAATCAACAAACATTAAGAATAAATTGTTCACATATGCCACATGACAGGTGGCAAAGTTTGTTCTTGGCTCATTAGTAATTTTCATGTGCCAGATGGTACATGATTGTACATACAGGTACATACTTGCTGACACTATAACCAATAAAATTACTTTTTCTTCAACAGTGTAATATCCCAAGAGCTGAAGCTGTCAGTTTTGGGTCTAGTAAAACAGCGTGATGACTGGGATAGTGCCAGGTCAACCTACATATTTGTAGCAACCATAGATGTTACCCATCTAGGAGAGAGCGAGAAAAGATTCTGAGAGAAATCTTGATGGATCTGAAATTCACATGGACTTGTCAGGCTCTCGGAACACACTGTGCTGACATTGTCACTCAGTTTTCAAAACCTTCGAACAGCTCTTGTCATACTAGTCTCTACAAATGTTTTCAGTGCCCCAGATTGCAATGTCAGCTCTAAGACAGGCCGTTTGACTGAAGCACACAGTGAAGACTTCATTATTTCTTCTCTGGAAGAGCTCAACATTGAACAATGTAACTACACACAAAAACCCTAAAATCAACATTTGTACAGGTATTTGTAATGGGGAATTGGTTTAAAAATGCATGTAAAATATATACAGGGCATGGACATTCATCTAAAGTACATGGATGTACAGCTCATCCCTTACCTTGGAGAGCTGTCCGAGGTCAGGTCTCTCCCACCCCAGCTTCTCCAGAACACAGCTGTCAAACGCATGCTGCTGTTTGCGACAGTGGCGGAGCGCGGCCAGATTGGAGTAATCCAAACAGGTCCAATATTCTGTAAAGGACTCGGCACAATTACTCTTTATCTGCCTGGGGAAACGAGAAAACGAGAAAACAGGGACAACAACATTATAAATGGAATTATGATTTATCCCATTCTGATTCCACTGCCAAATTAGACATCAGAGTAGAGCTACCAAAGTAAAGTGCAAATCCAGGACACGGAACTACTGAAGGTTGAAGGCATAAAAGCACTGTGATCCGTTTGGTGTTGCTGTGGATTTGACTTTTTTTTTACAAACTATTATGGGGAGGCTGGGACACGATATTAAAGGAAGACATTAGGAAAATCAGGGTGATAGGCAGCTTCATATCGGAGAAATTGTTTTTGCAAATTACCAACTAGCCTATATGCTTCACTAATTCTCAATCTCTTTGATGGTACTTATTTCTAGGAGTGAGAAAAAGCTGATTACTCAGGTACTTTAAAAGGAAGAGAACTCTCTGTTTTTAGCCACCTTAGTCAAAGTTGATTTTGTTATTCAGTGTTTCTGTGAAATTTCAAAACAATGGCATTCAGTGTAACTATTAATGAAAAGAGTTTACTAGTGCCTGCTTTGAAGTCCGTTGTATAATTTGTTGATATTAATACAAAGCTGCCTTTTTAATGTCTAAGAATCTGTGGATTTAGCAGTGGAAAGAAACGCAGCAAAAGATACTTTTAAAGCAGCGCAAACATACTTTCAATAAACACTGCCACCACTCTTAAAAGTGATACACCCTAGATGCCCTTATATATTCTTGCTATCTGACATACAACAGTATGTAGTAAGCCTTAGTTTCAATTTAATCCATTATTTATCCTAAGCAAAGCAAAAATAAGCCTTTTTAAGCCTTTCCCTCCCTCTGCAGGGAAAATAAAATCATACTTTCCTCCTGCTGATCACAACAACAGCACCACTACTCACAAATGTTCAGCAGGGTCTTGTGCTGGCAAGGCAGCTATCCCAGGTTTTCAAACCTATCCTCCTTCACACACACGGTTGTTAAAGTGAGGTACCGTAAAAACCCAATATCAGCAACACTATCGGTGCATCATGAGTCAATAGGTACCTGAAGAACTGCAGAGCACACTCGTTGACCTTGCTTCCCTCCTTCAAGCATTTCCTTGGGTCTTTTTCCTCCCAGCGGCAGAGCATAAACTCCTTGTTAGCCTTGTCGCACTGAGAGCCATAGTGGTGAGCAGCCGCCTTCAGCACTGCTGAAGATACATTGACCTGTTTCAGACAGGAGATGAAAGTAGTCATAACTTACAGAAGATGAACATTTTGCAGCTCAACCTGTGTGTGTGTGTGTGTGCGCTAATTAATTTTTTTAGAAAATGTTTTTGAATCAACAAAGGCCTACATGTTTTTTTTTTGTAAACAGAATGTTAGTACCTTTCCACCTATTAGTAACATGTTTGGATGCCAACATTGACTGAGCAAACCAAATTTAAAGAGCTTCTTTCTGAACCTATTATTTTGGTTTTCCACTGCTTTTGTCTTTGATAGATTCTGGACATATGGATGCCAGACAAGCTCAAAGTTTATGACAATCTGTAACTTTTAAATAAGTCTTAAGAATCCTTTTGATAACCACAGGAATAAAAAGCATAAACTACTGCAAACGGATGCATTAGTTCAGTGTCAAAGAAAGAAAATTTCAATTACAACCACTTTCAACCATATCTACTGTACGTCTTAATTTGTGTACCAATACATGACTGAATCCTTGTGTGTTAAATCAATCCAAAATTCTTGCCGCGAGATTTTAAAAGCAAATGAATTTAGCTTTTGAAAATAGTGTGTTCATACTTGAAGTGTATTTCATATTAGAGTGAGTTTGAAGATCTAAAACTACATGTCACTAGTGCTTTGAATACTTTTGGACAGAGACACCTGTAAAAGTCACGCTAAGTAAAGACCACTGCTTCTGTATTTCTGTGCACTTCGAGTCCTTAAAATGATCAATTGCACAATTGTTAATTTCTGAGTGATTTTTAAGCGTTTCTAAAGTAGAAGAGATATCACTTTATTTTCTCTATCACTTGAGAGTGCTGAAAATTTAACCCAATTTAATCATGCAGCTTTGTCTACCTACTGTAATATATAAATAGCCCGATCTCGGAAGGGCAAATACCTTTGTGGGGCACGAATTAAACTAAAAGTGGTATATTTTAATTTCAAAGAGAAAAAGTATGTAAAGACTGCTTACAACGTGATTTAAAAAAAAATCTAACTGAAACACAAATGTAGTGCCAGTTATTTTGCATGCATTCTGTATTGCAGTTGACAATATATAGAAATATATTCATTTTCTATATCAATTATCAATATATAACTATATCAATTTGCAATTTGTATTTTGAAGGCTTGGTGAAATTAAAAGGTAGTGCATACAGGTCTTCTACAATCGCAGAAAGCCTGCACCTATAGTGTCAAAACACATAAGGTTATACGAACAAACAAGGATACATCCCAAACTACAGCTCACAAATTATTACTACACGCTCGGTGACATTATACATTACTAATATTTTAACAAATACCGCTTATTTATACACGTTCGTGACTGCACACACTACAATTTTAAGATTATTCGACACATTTTCGTTCTGTGCAATATTCCTTCTTTTTGCACGAAACATCAGCTACTAACCTCCTGAACGTTCAGTTCGTCTAGAGTTGGTATTTCCACCGTACCCGGCATCCTCCTGTTAATTTCTTTTCAATCTTTTAAGTACAAACTACAGAACCTAACCATTAAAGTGATTTATATTTTAAAACGTCCCTCAAGGTCCCCGTCTCCCCGGCGGACAGGGCTGAAAGCGACAAACCAGGCCGCACTTGGAAGGTCAAACCACGGCGCCTGCGCTTTTTACTTAGCGCCGCCTCTCGAGCAGTTGAAAAGAACAAAGAGAAACTGCAGCCATGTTGACGCCATGTTGGCTCAAAATATGTATGTTTTACCCGACTGCAGGTGCTGTCTTATAAAGCCAGAATGGCGTCAGTTTCAACCCCCCATCGAATTTACGTATCCTCGTAACTTATTCTTACTTTCAACAAACGTTAGAGTCTATGTTTCGTCATTGTAAAACCTCTGAACGAAAAAATAAAAAATATATATATTTTTCATAGGGTTTTTATTTGTATTACACTTCTGGAATAAAGTAGTGTGACGTTATTGGTGTCATAATACAAAGCGACAGTGTTCTTTAAAAATCTGTCAGGCCGAGGTTGCTATAGAAACGGTGTCAACTACAGTATATCCGAAGTAGATGCTGCTAAATTATAAACGCAGAATAAACTCAGGCCTGGTGATATGGAGTATATTGGTAGCAGATATGAAGGAGACTTCAAAAACCGAAGGTATGAAAAAGAAAGTTATGGAAAGTTACAAGTCCTTCTTTCAGTTGTAACTGAGAAAAATATGTTTTAAAATTGACTGACAAATTCCTTTTAATTTTTGAATATAGAAAACCAGTTTAATCCTTTGCGGTATCATGTGTACATTGTAATGGTAAAGGTAATAGGAATTTATTTTTGAGATGAAATATAGAGTTTCCTCCAGTTATCACTACAATTATGTTCTTCAACTATTCTGTTTGTTAGGGGCTGAATAAATAGCAACTATATTCTGAAATACTTGTTATATTATTGGGGATTTTCATAACAGCATTCGTTAATGACAAAACTGAAATTAAATGTTTTTTGTTTTTACCGTTCTTAAAATAATATTAATGCTCTAGGTATGATATAATGAAACGTGTTTACTTTTTTCATTTAGCTCCTTTTCTTTTTTTTCTAATTTGTTTCAACATTTTTAGAAAAGTTTTAGAAAACTATCCTTGCAATCAAAGATGATGTTGATTTACGTTTTATGGTTTGATGATTTTCAAAAAAGTGAGTCATTGGGCAGATTTAACATTTAGATCCAGCCAGGGATGTGCTGCAGCTACAAATGGACTTTGTGGTTTTGGCCAATTGGAAGTTGTTGATGGAAACATTGAAATGCAGAATTTTGCTAAACCTTCATTCAGGTTAGAACAATACCATTCACATCTCCAGTTTCACCAGAAAAATCTGTAAGCACAACAAAACAGAAGAGTCAGACATTTGATTTTGTGTCTCGGACTTTCTCCTGTGCTCGGTCTAGAAAAGCCCTGATTCAGACAGAGAACTGAATGGATGGTACAGTTTTACTTGTCGAAGAAGTTGGATGTAATATCACTAGCTAGGACAACACTACAGTACTGTGTACTTCAGGAAAATACCCCTGTATCATGTCATGTAGTAAAGTACTTGAATTGCAGGTTTTACTGTGACGTAATCTTAAAGAGCTTTAGAAATCATTTCAGCACTGGTCTGTGACAGGCTTTCTATATTTTTTCTTTAGTAAAATATCTCAAAATGCCCACAAAGCATAACAACCAATTACCACCATGAGGCCATTTATGTACCAAACATAACTCACCCAAATGAGAATGTGTCCTCTGATCCCCTTTTCCCTAAATTATACAACTAATTAACTGCAGTTCACCCGGTGTGTCTATTTACAGTGATTAGAGGCCTATAGCAGTCTCTGGTGGCAGTTTGGCATTAATATCAGTCTTTCTTGACCCAGCCCTGTCACGTGGACATTAATGCTAAAAGCACGAGACAAGAATAAAACACTGCACAGAATGTGCTAGCAAGTAGTTACATGTACCCACAATTGGTTACACAACGTTATATCACTAGCAGTAAGATGACAAGCATTTTTACATCAAAGGTGTCATTATAGCAAGACATACAGTATAGAAGGGAAATATCGGGAATGTCACATTTTTTCATAAAAGTTCTCGATCTGTGGAACATGATGCAGGTGCTAATTAATTATGTTCAACCAACTGAATGAAGATAATGACATTTAAATTAATTAGTGAGAAATGGGTGAACATGGTGGAGGAAAGCCAACAATTCTGATCACACTCATATGACCAGCCTCTTCTCCTTTCTGTTTTAGGATGGAAGGGAGAGGGGAGTATACCCTCCCAACAGACACCAGATATGTGGGTGAGATGAAGGATGGCATGTTTCATGGAGAAGGGACGCTGTATTTTCCAGGTGGAAGCAAGTATGAAGGGACTTGGGAAAGAGGAATAGCTAAAAAGGTGCTTTTGAGTGTGCGAATCAGATATAGCTGGCAGTGGGCCAGCCTGAGGCTTCTTTGTCTTGTTTTCTGTTCACTTGCAGTGCTGTGTCTAGTCTTTTTCTTGACATGCATTACAATTGAAAAGGCAGTTGTCTTTGGTTGTCTTTATTTTTGTCTTTCACGTAACGCACATTATTATTTCTACTTTTCCTGATTGTTGTTCATACATGCCATGATGTAATAATTGCATCATTAAACAAGATCATGACATAAGATACATGACATCCAATGCAGACTGGTTGAAGACTATTGTGAAAACCTTTTGCTCAGAATGATGCTAACTGCTACAGTTAAAATGCTGCTAAAATGTTTTAAAAAAAGTTTTCCTTTAAAAAATGCAGACATTAACACTTAAATTGATATGCATAGAACTATAAAGTTCTTGTCAATTAGTACATTTAACAAAGTTAATCAGATCTGAGTTTTGTGTTGCCAGACATAGGCTACTACATAATCAGAATAAAGAGCAAATTAATTTATGTTTCACAATACTAATATAATGCAATAGGCTTATACAGAAATAAACAGTCTACAGAGACCCCAGTGTTTTGTAATGGTCATAGTGATTTTCTGAGGGTATTGTGAAGAAATTAAAACTAAAATTCAAAGTAATGAATAGGAAATGCAAATTATTATGAAGACTCAAAATTAAGCATGAAGAACATAAATACAATATACATAGTGTGTACTTGTTGCGAAATACAGTGTTTTACTGTGTTTTGTATAAGGTGCCAAATATGCAATTCTTTAAGAAAAATAGATGTTAATAATATATGTATAGAAAATAATTTTATAGTCGTTCATGATTTATAGTATTTATAATTATAATAATAATAAACTTTATTTTACATAGCGCTTTTAAAAGTGGCTTCTTAAAGTGCTTTACAGAATGGGCTGATCATTCGAACCATCCTTTAATTTAATTAAAATTCTTTTGACTCCTTTATGTTTTTATGATAATATAGATGACACAGCAGACTTGATATCTTGTAGAGTAATCATTTTGAAGGATTACTGCCATAGCCCAAAGCTATTGTTAATACCACAGTTAGGATTTTTAATCTGACAATTTACTCCTCAATTGACACTGGTTTAGACATGCAGTAGTGCTTTGTTTTACAGGGGAAATACACCTTCGCCGATGGACTGGAATACAAGGAGACAGACTGGGAGTACTGTGATGGGTATGAAAGACGTTTCTACACAGAAGTGTGTGACGGACTTAAACCAGCAGGTACCAATAATGATGCTATAGCAGAGTGAGAAAAGAAACCTATAGAGCTAGGTTTTTAAGGTTTTCATTTTTTAAAAGCACCTAGTTTATTTTATAGATTGTGGTTGTGAGCATTACAAATGGATGTGGTCTGCCTGATAACGAGTGGTTAGGAGTTTTGAGGAAGCACTGATTGGTTTAATGTGTTTGCTTTTGGTTATTTTATTTTGGGGTTTCTTGGAGATTCAGCATATCTGTCTGGTTTTCCAATAGGTCAGTCACAGCTCACCAATTTAGATCCACCTCGTGTCATCCCAGAAGGGTGCTATGACTGTGGAGATGGATTCTATAATCCTAACACCAGAGTGATCACAGATTACAAAAATCAGTTTCTGAGGAATGCAGGTAAGAAGGGTAGTAAGATCTTAACACATGGTTCTAATTTTTAGGCAGATTTGTCTTTGACATGCAGTTCTATTTGGAAGTGGACTTTTGTGTGTGTTTGCAATTAATCACTCCTGTATTCTTCACGGCATCTTTGACATGGAAAACTGGATAGCCGGATTCTACTGCAGTGCTGATGCCTTGGACTCTGGATAAGACTGTCATCGTCCAAGATAAAAATGTACTCTCCTCTGAACTGCAGCCCAGTTTATCATTCTGGTTGCACTGCATAACTTCAGTTTTTGTTGGCAGACTGCAGTCTAGTTTCAATAAGGAATGTCCCGTTCTGAGACAACCCCTTAGGCTGTGTTAGATACACTGCAGTTTCAAATACAGATCTGCATGAGGTTATCTTTGTTGTTGCATTCACAATAAAAATAAAATGTCATCATTCTCTAAAATGAAATTGTGCACCGATCCCCTGATGTAAGTTCTTCGTCCTTTCCTCACAAACCATTTGGAAAACTTGAGGGTATAAATCAGAAACAAACTGCTAAGAAATGATCTGAGTGCACTTTGGTGGATGTTGATTTAAAACACTTGAGAGTTTTATGAGAAGCTTTAAGATAAATACTCTTATTTTCTTGTTTCATTTTTTTTTTAATTATGCAACTAGAACACAGCAATGAATGCATTATGATTGTGGGCCACAGCCCCTAAAGGGCAACCTGAAAAAACAACTAAGTAATTCCAGTGTTTTTCTTGTTCTTTTGTGGTTTAAACAAAAATCTAATTTACTGGAATGATTCTGTCAGCGGGGTGGTTTGGAGCTGAATGCATGCTGCATTATTCAGATTTAATTGTTCGCATTCATGGGTTAAGCTTTGTTTTGGTCTTAAAGCCTTTGGGAAAAAATGCAAGATACAATATCTACTTAAAGTGTTTTAGTGAGGTAAGCGATGCTTTCTGAAATTCACATAATAAAGATGAGGACACGAGCCGTTTTGCAGATTTAGGATGTTGCTTTTATGACTTTTATGACTCTCTACCAAGTGCACTTTGATTTTGTAGTCTTTTCAGTTTTTTTGTGTAAAGGAAAATATAAAACACATTTTTCCCAATAACATGGGAGCTCAATGCCTGACTTTTGAGTTGAAGTGAATCAAGTATGTCAGGTTTAAAGAAAGGAATTCATTTTGCAAAGCTCTGCAAAGAGATGTCATGGATTTGGAATTGCTTTGGTTTTAATTCTAAATTCAACAAAATGCTTGTATGAACAGAGCTGGATCTCTGAATGTGGTTTAGCTGCAATACCAAATTCTGGTCTGTGGGCTGCACTGAATCATGCGCAGGGCACATTAAGTTTATTTTTTGTGGCCAATTTGCTCGGAGGCTACATGATGGTTGTGCTCACAAAGTATGCTTGCAAGCTGTTAGATCAGGATTTTGCTAGCTGAGAACATGGTTAAGCGCAACCTCAAAACCATTACAATACGACACCGATTTCAACAATGAATACAGACAGACAGTGGAAGATAAAACAGAGACATCTTGGAAACTTCAAAAATACTTGTGTGGGTTTTTTCCTACTTGGTGTTTCAAATTTCATTTCATTTCATGATAAGCTTATTGTTAATGGATATGAACTGGGAAACTATTGGTAAAAAATAAGTTATAATATCAGCCACTATTTGGGAGCTAAATAAATTATATGTGTTATTAATTTGTTTTAAAACTGCTTTTCTGGGGTTTATTTAATTTAGCAGTAGCAGACATTTTCCAATAGAGCTGACAGGCAGAAGATGAAGAGGTCACTGGCCATATTCCACCTAATCTAGAGTGACCCCGATGGATGTCTATATACCAATCGGAGATCCACTGCCTGAGTAAGAACAGATGTGCTTCTGCACCCCAAGGTCACTGAGCATTCAGGAGAAGGGGATGTAGTTGACATCTGCACCCAAACATTAGATCAAAGGTTATGTAAGTGAGGTCTGTGCTGTGGGGTTGGTGCAATTAAGTTAGATGCACGTGAAGAGAAAAAGTCATGTAGTGTGTACTTCAGAGACCTAGCAGTGAGTCCATCTGTAACTGCTCTCCATACCATGGGGAAGCTGATCTGAGGTTTTGCATTGTACAAGAGGTGCTCCCAATTTAAGCACTGGAACATAGACATTTTGTGTCCTGCTGCTGACAGTGAACAATATGCCCGCCTCACTTAAACGCGAAGAAGAACATTCAGTTCCGGAACTGAAGTTGAATAAATACAAAATACAGACAAAAAAACTCAATGCACAGTGTGCTGTTTTCTATTTTTGGACTTAAACAAAAGAAACCAGTCCAGGTGTTTGGCGCTTTGGGCTTGTAAACCTGATATTACTGTTGTAACACTAGCGCATGGTACTTCATCTGTAATTCTTACAGATTCTAGTTCTTCAAAATTTCTTTCTGTTTAAACAGGAACAAATATAAGCTGCTTTGGATAAAAGCATCAGCTGAATGAATTAGTAAGAATAATTCTTTCATGACTTGCTTTTGCTTATGTTATTTTATGGAGCTCTTAAGCAGTGATTGCTAAATACTATATCTATGGTTTTATTTAATTAGCATTAATAAGAGCACCAACAATAAACTAGAAATTAAAGGTTTAATTATTAATAAGAATGTAATTTATTCTTATTCATCTGTGAGAATGTGGGTGCTTTGTTTTGCAAAGTTTACCGTGTTGCAAATTATTAAGTCTATTTTAATAAAAAGTCAGTATGATTGTTCTCTATTTATAAAGTCTGATATTTACTGAAATTGTATTGCCCTTGGTAATAAGCGTAAATATAGATCTGCATGTTGCAAGTCAAAGATTAAATCTTTCTGAACATTGGCCATGTAAATGATATGTCCATGCCTTCTCTCTTCCTGGATGTATTTTTATCTTTATGGACCAAAGGTACATTTGTCAAAATGGGTGTGAAGACAAAATATATTGCCAATAGCTTTCCTTTAGGAAAAACGAGTGCATCAGAGAGCAGTGCTTACTCAACATGAAGAGGAACTAGCCTCCCCAGAGAGGGACATTACAGACAACAGGGCCAGAGCAGTAGAGGAAGAGTATAGACACAGCTGCAGGCCTGAGGAACAGGGGTGACAAGGCTGGAATGAGAGGGAGTGTGTCCAGAACTACTGCTCCCTAGGTTGGGCAGGAAAGGACAGGGAAATACCCAGGCTGCTGGCCAAGTCTTGAAAAGCAGCAAAAGCAGATGGTAGGAAGCCTTCAGGAAGTTCTTTACACAGCTCTAAAGACTAGACAGGTTAACCGAAAGTGACACTGGCTCTCTTAGGTCTGGGAGTGGTATTCAAGGATGCCCAGGTTCCCTGACCTTTCACTCATGTCCTTTGTGGAGAGCTGCCCATTACTGCAAAACAGAGGAAAGCTGGGGCACTCCTTTGGAATAACCACTGTGGCCTCTGTTCTCATCAGGGTTGCTATAAACTGTCATTTTTCCATCGCAAGTCTTTTGTGTAATGCTATAGAGAAAAATGAACCTTATTTAAGTTTAACATACTGTGAAATCACTCCCTTATCCCTCCTTTCATTTTGCAGACCTGCTAATTAAATTATGTATTGTTAAAATATGTTTTTTTTCCCCCATACTTCTGTCATTACCCTGGCTCTCAGTGATGTGATCCAGTAGCTTTAGGATTCACAAGATGATTTGAAAACCTTTTCAAATGTCATTAGTGGATCACAGCCTTAAAGTGTCAAAGTGCCAATGACATTTTTTTCTAATTTCTTCACCATTTATTTTGTTTTAAACACTAAGAATGTAGGTAAGAGTGTGTTAAGGTGAAGTGCTCTAACTCTTTAAAAATAGAGGCTGCAGTGAGTCCAATAGATATAATATTTTCAGATTAAGTTTAGCAGTGGCCATTTCATGTGCACCTCACAAAACTATTTCTAAAACTGGTTTTATTTGTTTTCTTTGTGTGTATCTATCATGCATGACTAAGAGTTTTCAGTTCCATTCTTTAGGTCCTCTGTGCACAGAGCTTAAAATCAAGAAATCAAAAGGACACATTCTGCGCACAGATTGTTTTAAAACCAAATTCCATATCAGGCTTGTGCTTTTGTTGTACTGTACTGTATGCGTGTTTTCATAACCCATTAATTTGATATTTACTGCAAATCCCTTCCAAAAACAAATCAAAGCACCATTTTCCTTTTCCAACAATACTGAGTATGAAGTAGATCAATTTTTAATAAAACAAGGTGGCCTTTTTTTTCTTTGCATACATTGATCTGTAGTCCTTCTTTTACCTTTGTAAATAACAACTGTGTAAGTGGCTTGAACCCTCATTGGTATATTGTTCATTGTGGTTTCCTGCTTCTGAAATAATTACCCCTTTGAAACCTGCAAAGGTTCAGATTCAAAACATTACACAGCCAAGAAAAACAACCTGGTTTGAGTCCCGGCCATTCTATTGTGAGTCAAATTAAAGAATTTTAAACAGGCAGTATTAATGTAATGTCCACGTGTTTGTGCCAAAACCAGTTCTTTCTGGAATGGAAAGTCCACCTCAGGAGCTGTCTGTAAGTCTGACTCGCAAAGTGCTCAAACCACGATCCTCAAAATCATTTATACCGTTAAATAAATGTCACATAAAGACACCGGTTGTGAAGAGGTGATGAGCTAACAATCTAATAAAATACTCAGCATGTTTTACATGCCTTACTGCAAGCACAGTTTTGTTTTGGAAGGAAACACTTTTCCTTTTGAGTATATTTTAAGGATTAGGGAGAAACGCCTTTTAACAAGGTACCATAACTACTTTCCTGTGCTGTATTTTACAAGTGTGCCAGTTGGCACGTTAGATAATGAATTAATTTCCACCCTGAAACAGTACCAATGTTCAGATGATTTGTCTTGGATTTGAAAGTAAACGACATTGAATGGGATTAAGTTTATTGTACTACTACTGGGATAAATAGCTAAACTTTGCAGTTCCGTAAATTTAAATATAGTAAGAGAGACACTTTATTTTTAGGAGAAGGCTATTGAGTTACTCAATATCTTCACGTAATGGATCTTGAAACTCTTGGAATATGTTGTGTATGCTCTCTTTCCATAACAGATGTTCTCAAAGTCTCAAAACTTCTTCTTAATAGAAACAAAGATAATGTAAAAAAATCAGAAAGGCACCCTATAAAATTTTCTTACTTGTTAAGCAAGTTCAATTAAATTAAAAAAAAAACATTTTTAGTATGCTACAGATGTTATATCTAAGCAGTTGAAATTACTGACGAATTACTTCTAACTCCTACAATCAAAACAGGAGGAGAAATACATAAAATTATTTTTCTTAAAAATGATTTCCAAAGTTATGTTTTTGTTGCTGTGATTATAAAATGCTGCGGTTACAATTATGTGAAGTGTGAAGCACACTTGGCTGTTTATAAATACTGAAAAGCTTTATTCATTGACAATCTGAATAAATTAACATGAAAGAGATAAGTTTCTAATGAGCTGGATTGCCTTTGAATTCCATCTGAATTATAATTACTTCAGCCACCCACTTAGATGGAAAGATTTGTTTCCTATGCTGTATTGTTGGTCTTTCCAAAAACTGACATGACGTGATATTATTAGATGTGTCCTGGTATTATTTGTGCGGGAAAAAAGGAGGTTTAGAGACGTTTAGAAAAGAAACACTTATTAATTTAACAATTTACAGATATGATTAGGGAGTTTTGTGTAAAAAAAATAAATAAATATATATATATCACTGGCTTTTTAAGAGGCAAATTACAGCAAAGGTGAAAATGTGTGCCCATGCAATCTAATTAGCATATTCACAGAATCACAGTTCGGGAAATGGTAATTGCTATGAGCTATCCACCAGTACCAATCAAACCAGAAGTATTAATTGGTTTTAAATAGTGATGAAATGTGCTTCTTGAATCTGACCTCCATGTTGTGGGTGGTGGAAGCAGGCAAGGAGAGAATAGGGGAAATATTTAGTTAGCATGCAGCTGCCACAGTGTAGACCAGGCATCTGTGATTTAAATTGCTGGACGCACAGGCAGGTAAAGAGCGAAAAAGGCTAGTCAAGAGGCTGTTAAGGCCATTGCTGGCAATTACCAACAATCAGGGAAGGGTTTAAGACTTGCTCAGAACAATAGGCCCAGTTTGCCTTGTTTCAGAGGTTACTGTTGAAGAGGTTGCAGCTGCATGCAGTGATTCAGATCCGCCATAAAAGAGCTACCTCTCTGCAATTAGCACCTCTTTTCAATTTTAGCTTTGGAGAAAAAAAAAAGTATATTTATTATCTAATGTTTTTAACTCTTCAAAACCATGTGCACAGAAGAGATTGCTGTCAAAGGCAGTGCCTGTTTTGCTGAGGGACGTGTGCGGTATTTGTGCTTATGGATTTTTTAAAATACAATCTTCACCTTTTTGAAAGCAAGAGTGTCATTTATGAGTGATATACTGTGCATGAATTACAGTTAGAGATATTACTATGAATAGTATATTGGATGGAATAAAATGAATAATATACTGTGCATGAACTACAGTTAGTGATATTGCAATGTTTCAAAAAACAAGGCAGTTAACAGTTAATAGTTAAATATTCTGGATGTGGATGTTATGCCAATGAAGATCCTTTAGATAAAAAAAAGATGTTCAGTTCGGTAAAATATAAATACTTGCTTAGATAATACATAATAGAAAATACATTGTACTGGTGACCATATTTAGAAAAACAACCATACAAACCAAATACACATAGAATTGTAGTTAGAATTATTTTTATTTTATTGTAATAATGCATTAATTTAGACTTTGTTATTTTACTTGTTGTGTCTTCTTTGATTTGTTGAAATGTGTGTGGAATATTTCAAACAGTGATAGAAATACCAGCAGGTTTATATACTGTATCTCATATACTGTAGATTTCTTAGTGGGGGGTTAATCCGTTTTTTTTCCTGCCTTCCAGATGATGACGAACATGAATGGATAATCCGGACCTGTCGTAAAGGCTGGGATGAAATAGTTGGGCACAAACCTGGAAATTAGAAAACTATGTGGTTGTTTTCATTACACAAACTTTATCTGAGCTAACATATCCCTATCCTACACTCAAATAAATGTACATTTAGTGTAAGTCATTTATGGTTTCCAGATGGTTAGTTACATGTATTTCTAGCTTTAATTTGAAGCTGTGTGCTTTATTTTAATCCCATTATTAATATGCATTGCACATAGTGTGTATTATTGCAGCTAGCATGCAGAATAGAATCTAATATCTGATTAAACATAAAAGCTGAATGAAAGCAAGGAAAAGTATTCGGCACACCTATAAAAATGCACCCCTACAAATTAAATTCCCATTTCATTATTTTTTATCACTCTATTAGGAGGTTTTAATTTTTTTAGAAATAATTGAATACACACTTGATAAAATTGATATTTTCATCAAGATAGATTATGTTAGGTCTATCAAAGATATTGAAATATCATTGTTGCATTAACCCTCTATGTAGCCTGACAAACAGCAGGTTGTCATATCTATTCCAATCCAATATAACACAATAAAAGATAAATCTTTACAGTTTTAATTTATTATTATTTTTGCAGTAGTTGAAGATTGATTTTCCTAGTACAAGCGCTGATTTACGTACAGCGTTTTTACTGATCAGGTGAAGTAAAGAAATAGCCCAGAAAAAAGCGTGGAATTACATTTCTTTTGGGAGGCTAATAGTGTGACATTTGGACATTGTAAGGAAGAAGTATCCTGCTGTTTTTGCTTTTTATCTTCTTGTTGTTTTGGTGAGTAGAAGCCCAGGGTTAATATTTAAATTCCCAGTGCTTTATCAGTTGTTTAATTGATTGAACCTGGAAGGCAGGGAGAAAGTAGCTCAATTGCTGGGTACTGCCTGATTTCTTGGTAATCTGCTGCATTAAGAGATTGGAAACGAAAAATCAGATAACATTTGGAGCACTTAATACTTTTGAAAGGAAGAGGAAATTGAACAGCTTAAGATCGATCAGTTATCTACTCTAAACCGAGAAGAATACAATGAGTCACCAAGAATACAATAAGAACTTAAGTCCTGTATTTACCTGTTTTGTTCCAACTTCATTTTCTCCTACACTCCAATGCCTGGTGCAGAGTTAAGTGCTAGTAGTCTATTTAATATCATTACTATAAAAGGTGTAATGAAAGCAGGAATAGATGATCAATACACCAGACATTGTTCAACATACTTACTTGTTTTTAACAGTTTCCATTAGTCCTAAGACCAGAAAAATTGTATTCTCTGTAAATGTAGAAAAAAAGAGATGTCTGCCCCTCACCGCCTCACCGACGCTCTCTTTAATTAAATTCCTATAAACATATCTGTTCTAAGGTAATTTAGACTTAATGCAGGCAATTTCCCATCTAAAAGGTTTCCATTAATAGGTAATTCAGCATTCAGGCTGAAGATTACTATTGTATGAATGACTACTGTAGTCGTGGGCTTTTTGTAGCTAGGAAGCGGAGAATGAGCTGTGCACAACATTGTGGTTTAATCATGAAGCTTGGGTCTGTGAGATCAGAATCATTGCCTAAGCGCTGCCTGTCATGGTGACCATGCTCTTGTTGGAACAGGACTCAGGCTGCAATACTAAATCAATCCCATTTAGGTACATGCCATTCCTTTCCTTTCGGATACTAGACACTGATCAGCAGTGGAAACTTATTATTATGTACAGTGACCCATGAACAGCCTAGCGATAAAGTTATGTGCTTATGATTGCTTCCCGTCATTTGCATGGCATAGATTACAACGGGGTGATTTATATTTAAAAGAGGTACTTCAAGGATCATGCAAGGATCATTCCTACTGAACTGTGATTGCTTGTGAATAAAGAACGGTTGATGAATTTATCTAAAAATGATGTTTATTAGGTGTTATCTACGTCAACATGAAGTTCTGGAAGTTTGTCTTTATATCATGTGTGATGGTGTGGACAAGTTCAGAAAGTATATGTTCGGGAACGGGAGAGCAAGATACCAGCCATTTGTGTACTTCTAAAGTCCTGTGCATCCCTGCTACACGAAATGGCTAATTGTGTTTAAAGACAATTGCTATTTATGACAGAGATTGAGGATAACAGTATATAATCTGCTGGTGAATGGTAAACATTCAGCAAGCGTTGCAAATAATTTAATTTAGACTAATTTTTTTGTAGTATTTCAATTTCAACAATGTTTTCTTTTAGCAATGTTTATATATATATATTTATCCCTCTTTGACAATCTTTTTAAATCACACTGCATATATAATGATCTATTACATGCTCTGGCTACTGTGCAGGCTAGCACTGGGTAGAACACTGTTACTGTACACTGCCTAGATTATTTTATTACATATCTTGCATTTAAAATTAGTTTGGATGCAAACAAACAAATGCATGTAGAGTGAGCATCTGTTTGGAAAATTCCCATCCAAGATCTAATGAGATGGTAGGACCCACTTTTTTTAAATACGTGAAAGGTTCTATTGTTTGTATTTACAGACTAGACTCTTGTTTTTTAATTAAACAATCGTATCAGAATTAAAATTTAAAATGAAATTCGTGACTTCAAAATTCAAAGAGATGAATAAGCAAATCCTCATTTCATCCTTGTTTTTGTACGTATGAAACAGTCAAATTTATGTTTTAACATTTTTATTGCATTAGGTACACAAAAAACATTTACAATGCACAATAATTGAAATCCAACTTTTTTTTTCTTTTAACAAAACAGACATTTGAAAAAAAGTGCTTACATGTGTTTTACTTTTTCAATAAATATGGAACAATGATGTCTTGTCTTCCCTGGCATCACAGGTTAGGACTTTTAGTTCTAAAGCCAAGACATGCTAAGTTACAGCTTTATACAAATGCAGTCATCTGCTTTGCACAAAGACTGCCAAAAACAACTATTTACATCCAACCTTGATAAGAACAGAAATTTAGCCTAGTGCAGAGACTGTGCTTACTGGACGGCCTGCTTTTATGACAGAAAGATGTTTTTACTGTACCGTTTTTATCCCTTTTGAGCACATTGTAATGCTACTTGTGGAAAATACAAACACTGTAAAATCCCGAAAGATAAGTAAAAAAATACATGTCCTGGAAAAAGTCCTTTTAATTACAAGTTATTCTGAAAAATTTCAATCAATTTCACTTCAATAATTCAATGCATTACGCAGATTCCTCAAGCTAGGAGAATTGAGATGTTTTCAAAATGTTCAATCAGCTCCTATACATTAAATCAATTACATCTTAGCCACTGCAGTTATACAGATAAGCCATATAAATCGGTTTTGAAAGCATGAAAGCATTTTCCAAAACAGGCTTCGGACCTGTATAATAATCCACATTGGTTTTTAGGTCTCTTCTGAGATAGAGCAGGAAACCTAACTGCAGTTGTTTCCCTGTTTAAATTGCTGATATTCCCACTGAACAGCCGAGGTGAATTGTTGTAATCCAACATTTATAATATGTGACATACAATCTGCTTTAAAAACGCACTGGTCACATTCATAATAAAGTGGTACTTAGCTTGGATGAATTACAAAATGTAACCTTCAAGAAGCAATGTGATAAATTCCTGCAGGCTGACAGGAGGAGGCAGGCTGACCAGCAGAATGGAAGGATAGCTTTATCAGCTCATCCTGTTTACACTGTTTGCAGCACAGGGACAACTTTCTTACAGGGTTTGTGAAATTGCTTCAAAGGACCAAATGTTCAATGTTTTTTTAAAGATAAATAAACCATACTTTCTTTCTCAGGGGCAAATGTTTTGATTAGTAGTTTTTGCCAAATCCCATTTCAGGAATGCTAAGCTGCAGGCTTTTCAGTTTATCAGCTGATGGTCTCTAACCCTGCAAATGTTTTAATGATGATATTAATGTGCTGCATCTTTCAAACAAATGGCTTCCCTTCTGCCTGGCAGGAACCTTTAAGTGCTTCCAGAGACACCTTTTAGGAGAATGATTTCTGTCCAAGAATTTTTAAACCCCTTCCAAACTAATTAAACCCACCATTGTGCTTTTTTACATTTTATTTAGTTGCATTTTGGAGATCTTTCTTCCCCTCCTGGAATGTTGATATTGTCTACAATGTGTTGTAATGGCACTTTTTTGTATGAATTAAACACACAGTCATGGACAGGATTGCAGAACCCTTTGCAAAGAAAACTTTCATTCAATCTAAATACCGATTAAGAGACTATAATCAAGAAATAAACATTTAACAAATACCCTACAAGAATCTTTGAGTGGAAAAACATCTACTCCCCCTTTTCCAAAAAGGCTCAGCAAGCTTTTGTCCACAACTGCAAATAGCACTAAAGACACTGAACAGCTTTACGTAGTGTTTTGTAACTTTAGAAATTGAGTTCAGTCTATATAATGCTTAAAATTGTATTCTGCATTATTCTGTAGAACACTCGTTTAGGCACCAAATGTGGCCCTGTTTTTGAGCAGTCTCTCTGTATCACATGATTTTGAAAATCTTCAGCAAGTCTATTTAAATAGTTATTTTTTGGTTCACCTTACAATGCTGCGACTGAGTCTTTCTCATAGAGTTATGTGACAAACATTCATAAATACATACAAACATTCATGCTTAATAAATACAAATGCTCAATCATTCAAACATCCATTGATTCAAAAAGGAAACCTAAGGTTGGTAGCATTTTATATTGTTGCTGAATAAACAAGCTTTTAATCTGCACGGATAATTGGTTGTTAATAACTGTAGGTGCCCTCAATATGTACTTTTATACATTTATTTAAAAACTAGAGTATTAGTGAACTACTTGTTTATTTAGAACATAAAACGTTCAGTGTTGTGAAAAGAGGCACTACCTGTGCTTTTTGTTGTTATTAATCAAAACTAATTGCAATTTACAGGTAAAAGAAATGAAATGTGGTATATGGTTTGACATTTGTTTTCTTCAAGAGATTTCCAATTTCCTCTTGACAGTGACTTTTGAAGAAAATTTACTAAGAGCGTTGTCATAAAAAACTCAAACAGTTCAGAGCAAAAAGCGAGCGGGTATGGTTTGTCTGTGTCCTTGTAAAATGAGTGTACCATAATTAAAGACAATAATAATGCCTACAGCACTGATCCTCCTCTGCTGAGGGCTAGTTAGTGCAGAAGGCAGTTTTTGCTACACTTAGTGAAACAAGTAATCAGCTACATTCAGTCAATGCTACAGCAGCATGTGTAATCCTAAGGACCACGGGCCTTTTATGCAAAGCAACACCCAGGATATTTGGAACACAATACTTTCTCTGTGATTTGAAGTTACGGGAAAGTATTTCTAAACTTTAATGCATGGAGTTGTATTTTTTCCCAAAATGCTGATTTCACTGACGAAAATAAAAATGTTTCAAAAGAAATTAAGCCAATCTACAGATTGAAGATGTCTTGTGTAGTGGGCTAGAGTAGTCACACAAACCTCTGAATTAAGGACAATCTATGGGAAATCCTTCTAATAATCAATAGGATTACAAGATTTCAAAATCTTCCCATTTAAGGAACACAGACAAAACTATTGACTGATTTATGTTTCGGAAAGGTCTTGTTTGATGCGCTACATCTCTCTAAACCCAAACCATGATACGTCAAGCCAAAGGCAGTAGAAGATTAGCTTAAAAAGTAACTTTGTAAAGGGGAATCTTCAGTAGATCTTGTGTTGTAGTGTCGATTCTCACAGTCTTCTATAAATTGTAAATTGAAGCCTTTTACCTGCGTCAGTCACACACCTGGCCAGGGCCAACTTACCTCCTGGGCCACGGTCGATTATCTTTCACTTCACTGGCTTTTTGTCTTTTACTTTTTGCTTTTTGCCGAATTACCGGACGGACACCACACAATGAGCTTTCGTATATTTCTTTGGGGCAAAGGCATTTTGCGGGGGGAAAGGGAAAGGGTGAAACCAAAAAAAGGCACTGCTGATGAAAAAGAAATCCAGGAGGAACTTGCTGCTGCTGGGGAAAATCACAACTCCGCGGGCTGAAGACCGGCTGTGGGTTGTCTCACAGGCAGGGCCTCGGCGGCTGTCTCTCCCTTCTCAAACCAACATGCCTTGTTGTGCAGGAGATTTTTTTTTTTCCGTTTTGCATATGAACCACTGAAATTGAAACAATCTTCTCAGAAAGGGAAATCCAGGGGTGTCTCTCGCTGGGGCGTCCAGACAGCCACGCTGAAGAGGCTCGGGGGGGGGGGGGGGTGAGGCGGAGCGCGGCTAGCCTCTCGCCATTGCCCCACGGTTCCTGACAGAGTTCTGGGTGGGGGGGGGGGGTTGGGCTGTCTCAGAGTGGGCTAGCGGCTGAGTGGCAGCTGAGGAAGAGCCAGGGCTTGGTGAGGAAGAGTCTGTGCAGTCAACACGGAGAACGGGTGACCTGTGGAGGAAACCAGTGAGAAAAGTTCAGGTCGATGCACTTACTTGTAATGACACCTAAAACTGTTACAGGACTGGCATTTCATTAGCTACGAAGGGTCATCCTTTTTGCATTTCACAAGTCCAGAGACTGCTGGTCTACCCACTGAGCCCATTCGACTGCACTGATAGAAGCTGGAGTTCACAGCTCTGGATGTCTGAGCATGACTTTGCTCTTGCCGCAGTGGCCTGTAAGCTTTACATAACTGGAAACTCAGACAATGACCGCATTGATGAGACATTTTACTTTTACAATAAACACAGAGCCAGACTCCCTTCCAGTGGAAATTTTGGGTAAGTAGACAGAAGAAAAAAAAAATCAATTGAACACAATTTACTAATTAAACCCACTATGCTTGGACCGTGGGCAGCTGCGGTCAACTGTTTGGACACCCTCTGGGGAACAAGGACTACTGAAGGACAAGCTTCGTACCTTTTTCAGAAAACTTAAACGATTAATATGAAATGTTGTTAAGTGATTTTTATACGTTGTAACTTATTTGGTGATTTTACGTTAAAACAACAATTATGTCATTAATTACATTGGAATTCTTTTTTCTTATTATCTACTCAGGGTACACAAGCCTTTGCCTTTAAGCAAGAGATCTGTTCTTATATTTCTAAAGATGTGCACACTGTGACGCAGAATTAAAAGAGTCCTTTCTGCACATGAGCGACGGGGATTATGACTCCAGCAGCAATCTCTCAGATGCACAGATAACCTTACTTACTCTCAATATATCCATGCAGTGCTACCATGCGGGCTCTCTCGGGGCTGCCGAAGGGGGAGTAATGAATGTCTTCTGGGAGGGAGGGGGGCATCCTGGACTGAGGTGGCCCCTGGGGAGGTCCACTGTGCTGGGGCGTGTGTTTTTTGTGTCTTGCTCTGCAGTTTTGAAACCAAACCTATAATGCAACATTTCCAGTAACAATTAAGCTGACAGATGTTGATCATTTCTTTCATAAAATAGATCATAGGCAGACACCTTTAATTGTAATACAAAACAAAGAAAAAGAAGGAACAAAGTCTTGTTTGCAGCCCTACTTATAAGTAAAACTCAATAACAGAGTACACGCTTACTAAAACCAGATATAAGTTAAAGGACTGGAACATGAAGTTTGCTAGACTTTATATCAGGACACAACTTTCCATCTTTTTTTTCTTGAGGATTAAAACCTAGTAATTGGGCAATATAATGTTTCAATGTAGATTAAACCCTTAAGTAACATTCTAATTTGTTTTTCAGTTGTTCTAAAGAATTTTTTCAAGGTTAGCAATTCTGCAAAGAAGGTTTACAAATGTCAATACTTTGGAGAAAAGCTTCTCATGTTTGTGTTGTGAGTTGTGTTGTGCTTTGCAATAGTTTCGTACAAATTACATCATGATTAACCCTACCTCCTTCTTTATGGTGATTTTACTTTAATTGCTTTATAGTGCTCTAATTATTGTATTTCACAGTAACCCTTTAAAAGGGTGTGTTTCCACATGTTTATTTGGTTTGGCTTAAGGCAGGATAAATGCACACAGTTTGCTACAGGAGGAAAATAGCTGAAGAAAAACAGCACTCACAGGCCTACATACTCTATTATTGAATTTCATTGATACCAAATGTAAATTACACTGCCATGACCAATACAGACACATAGAGGAGGTCAAAACAATTGAGAAATTTGTCCTGCTGAAGGCCTGTTTTAGATCAGGAGAAATCATTTTAGATTGGGGTTTCATAAAGTGCCAGAATGGAAGGAAGCACTGTGGCTCTACGAATGGGAGTGGGTGCTGTTTTCACTATTTCTCTCATTCGTAGTTTTCCTGTCCTTGACCGCCGCACATTCCCACCTGTATAACCCTGCGGCTCAACCCCGTCATGTCGGCGAGTTTCTGAAGCGTCTGTGCATCTGGGTTGTTGTCCTGCGCAAACTGGGCCTGCATCACCTGGGATGAGAGCACAGCGTTAGCAACACGGGCCTGTTTCTCTGCTCATGTTAGATCACAACGTCTGGCATAGCCCACCTGCAGCTGCTCGGCCGTGAAGGACGTGCGCGCTCTCTTCGCCGGCTTCGGCTGGCTGTCTTGTTCCGATGGGACAGCTCCCTCCAACGTGATCCCACTGCCTTAACATCAGACAAAGAAAACGCCCCAGTTAGACTCTCAGAATCTGACATTTCAGAGAAAAGCACCCCTGTTTAAATACAGTAGCTATTTAATTTAATACTTATTAAATCACATACTGTGCAAGCACCATTTTTGGAAGCACTTACGACAGAATTTGCAAGGCAAATTTGTATTAAAAAATAGAAACTAAAATATTATTTGACAGGCAACAGCTTTGAACATAGAACAAACCTGAATTACATAGTTTTTAACAATGGGAAATATACAAAATGAATTGCTGTGGCTGATTTCACAACATTAGAAACAGAACATATGAAGGCATCTTTAATTCTGCCTCACACATATCTTATGAAGGCAAGAGAACGACAGACAGACAGACTTATTATTTTTTATGATACTTAAAACAAGCTCTCACTAGAGATCACCCATGGAGTATAAGTATAAGGCATATGCAGTATGCTTTGCCTTGTTAAAAAGATCTAAGCCACTTTTGAGAAACGCATTCAGTGTAGGAATTAACTAAATATCAATCAATAATAAATTCTGGGAAATATGGTGAAAGAAAATGAGATCATTTTTATTGGCCATATACAATTTTCTTTTATTAGGAATTTGTCTCTTTGCATACCCCAGCTTGCTCTCCCTGAGACACACAGACAGGGAGAGAAACTGGGGGTCAGAGCAAAAGGGTCAGCCATTTATACAGCGTCCCTGGAACAGTTGGGGTTAAGGGCCCTGCTCAGGGGCCCAACGGAGTAGGATTCCTCTGCCGGCCGCGGGATACGAACTGGCAACCTTCGAGCCACAGGCGCAGAGCGTTAGCCACAGAGCCACCACACCGTCAGACAGACAAGAGCCAAAGATCTGAAACTTTGAAGACACTTAACATATGCAGTACATGTCACAGGTATAATCGGTGATGTAAAATCTGTGTCTTCTGAATAAAAGGGGCACGTTCCTCCTCTGCTCACCACTTTCTGCTGCTCGTTTCAGGTTTTCTACCATCGTGTCGTAGTGGATCCTGCACAGCACCTTCTCTTCCACCAGCCCGAACTCCTCCCCCGTGGACAACTGCCTCTTGCAGGAAAAGCAGGCAAAGCAGGCCAGGTGGTAGGCATTTCCCCGGGCCCTTCTCACCCAGTCACTGGCGTAAATCTGCCGCCCACAGCGGGCGCACTTTGTACCAAACCTACTGCGAGAGAGAACACAACGCAGATTAAAACCCTGCGCCGCAAATGGAAATGAGAGCAACAGCAACAACCGGAATGACGATAAAATCTCCATTTCTGAAAAAACGGGAATTCAACGGAACTTGTTGTTTAAAATACGGAAGTACACAGTTTGCAACTATTTCACAGTGTAACTCAGCAATTCAAAATTGGCAATAATGTTGTTCAGATAGGGCTACCTACAAAGCAATAATTTGCTTTGACCTCTTATTACTCTATGAAGTACTTATATACTGTAAAAGCAAAATGCTTGTACTTGCCAAAGGGGTTACGCTTTAAATTCAAGAAACAAATCCTAGAATTTCTTAGATTGGGTCTGAAAGACTGATTGACAGTCCCTCATTGACCCTGAAGGTATTCCAGTGAAGGAATAAAACCCTACACGTGGGAAAAGATTTAGCTTCAAGTGGCAACGACTGGGCCCAAGCTCAAAGGTGGTTTCTACTCTAAACTGGAAACACCTGCACGCTGGCTTCCTGTCATGTGACTATGTTAGACTAGTGTGCATGATCTACACATGGCTAAACTGAAACAAGAAAGATTTGTGCAGTAAAGAAGAAAAACCAAAAGTAGATTTGTACTGTATTTAAAGAATAAGTTTGGTATTTTGTTTCAGCAGTTATCACCGTAGCATATCTTTTGGAAGATAATATTTTCTTATAATATAAAACGCGTAAGAGTTTTGGAGTGATTGTGTTTCAATTTGTTAATCCTGCTTCCCGTTTATGTCTGAGAGAAGTGGAGAATTGTTTCGTTGTGAAATGCGAAATGTTCACTAGCTCTTTTGGCACCAAGCTGCACACGTCTCTTACTGCCAATGAAAACCTAGGTTCCCACCATGTAAAAACAAACTCACAATATGTTTTATGATTGCTGCATTTGCTGAATATTTTGTACACTTTCAAACCGACATTCTCATGCAGAACAAAAAATAAATACGAAGACATCACTTTTTCAGCTCTTATCAAGCACGTGGGAACATAAATTGTCAGAATTTTCTGTCATTACTAAATTAAAAAAATGTGAATTGGAATTTGTCACTGTAAGAGTGAGGAATAGTAAATAACATACGTCAGGGTGGGGCCTGATTTGTCTGTTTAGGAGCTGAAGAAGTAGGAGTTGTGTATTTCCATTTAATTTTATTCATTTAAGGGGCTTTAATTTGCAGGGCACAATTGCAGGAGGGGGGAGAAAAGACGTATCTGAATTACACACATAATAATATGTACTGTCTCCATCTGGCCTGAATTAGCAAATGCTATGTTATTTCTTTTAAATAATAATTACAGTTTACTAATCAAAGTACCTTAAAAACTTCGGGATAAATTAAACGAAACTTGGATGAAATTGCAGCAGTTGCTAGGTTTTAAGCAAAATGCAGCTACGCTAATCGTCTGCAGATGGACTTCCCTCCTTGTTGGCCTAAACATCTGTCTCAGTCTGTAAATGTAGAGAAGAAAATGCAATTGTGGCGATTAAGTTGATGTATTTTACGCAGATTTCATTTTTCCCCCTTGTCTCATGGGCACAAAAACCAGTCTCCAAAAACGAAAGGCTCTTATAAACAGCATGTCATAAACAATGGCTTGGACAAAGCCATATTTAACTTCTTATGAAGGAGAAAGACATGTACATACAGTATCTGAAAAAGAAAAGACAATGTTTTGGCAAAGTCATTGCTGCCATGTCGGCATATTCAGAGCCAAAATGACAACATTTGTCTGTGTTCTCATAGAGGGTTGTTTGGATTGAAGTACTGGTGCAGAAATATTTTGAAATGCATCTACAAAAAAATACAAAAGAGTATGGGAGTCCTAAAATGCAAAACTTTAATTGTGGGAAAGTAGTGTTTTTCTTAAATGAAATGTTTAAAGAATCTACATGTTTGGTTCACTTTATAAAACGGTGCCTATGGAAGTCAGCATCCAAGGAAATAATGTTCATTTTTTTTCCCACACTCCAGCCTTTTACATCCTTTGGCCAGATGAAGAGTCAAGACTCTTGTCATTGTGAGGCATAACTGTTGCAATGCAAAACCTCTAGAGTTTCTATAAAACCTTGTTAAGTTACTTTGTCAGCCTGGAAGAGTTTCCCAAATTCAAACAGGGCGCATTGTGCACTGGAATAAAATGGTATCTGAGAAATGTCTCCATAGAAGTATAACTCACTAAAATATACTGTCTCTGAATGTCATATTCTGTCTTGTAGTTAACTCTGCTGTGCTATTGAGCATAAAGTAATTCAGAGCTGACAATTATTTCCCTGCATTGAAAAGTGGGCTTAGTGTCCCGGGTTGTGTAAAGGGGTCCGGGGGGGGAGTGGGAGGCAATGCATTATCAATAATTTAATTAAAGATGAAGCTTGAGAATAGGATGTAAGGTATCTGAGACAGGTATTAATTAAAAAAAACTCAAGCAATCAGAGGAATGACGGTTGGTAGCCCATGGTCCGTGCTCAATGTCGGGTTTTTTTACCAACGGGCCCACTGTTTTTCATTAATGAGAAGATGCTGTTTTGGAACTCGAATACAAACACCGCGTTACTGTGATTATTTCTTCCTTGCCATTAAAATTCACTTTTCCAACAATTCTGCATTGAAAGAGAAAAAAAAATTGCGTGTCACATTTCATGACATTTCTTTTCTACTCCAGATCCCATGTGAATCCCACTCTGCATCTTTGGAAGCTATGGGAAAGTGCATTTAAAGCCAAGGGCAGGAAGCACTTCTCTACACGAAGGTTTGTGGGAATATGTACCTGCCCAGCCATGTAGTTGAGACTCACACCCTACCCATACATTGGCCTTTACCAGTCATGGCCTCCTAATAATCCCCATCTCTGAACTGGCTCCATCACTCTGCTCTCCTCCCCTCTGAGAGCTGGTGTGTGGGGAGTGTACTGGCGCACTCTGGCTGCCGTCGCATCATCCAGGTGGGGCTGCACACTGGTGGTGGTAGTGGGATTCCCCACTACCTGTAAAACGCTTTGAGTGGAGTTTCCAGAAAAGTGCCATATAAGTGTAAGGAATTATTAATTATTATTATTATTAAACACTGCCTTCCTTCAATAAATGGTTGGATGAGGTCTATGGACCAATAAGCTACTGGAAAAAAACAACAAACAAGTCAGATGGGCCAAATGGCTTCCTCTCATTTGTATCCTTTCTTAATTCTTCCCTCGTTGTGGCCAACGAAAAGCCCGCCATGTCAAGCTACGCTATTTGTGAAAAAGCCTGACAGCAAGACAGCAGCTGGGAGCCAGTTCTAAAAGTGACCACTAGGGGGCACTACACCTTTCCCCCACCTTCCCCCCTATTTCTGTTACTTTTCTGCACAGCTGTCAATAAAAAGAAATCCTCTTTTAGCCACGTTAGCTTCCTTGCAGCTTACATGCTCCTGTGTATTTGTAATGGCTGTTTAATTAATGAGAACATTCATTTTTCAGCTGCATTCCTCCACAGCTCCCATGTGGGATCCTCGGTTTACCAGACTCGAGTGGGAAGAGGCCAGGGAACAGCGGCCGGAGCAGTGGGAAACGTTGCCGGGGGACACGCCCAGAGAGCGGCTGTTAGCAGCTTCAGGATGGGGAGGTATGTGGAGAATGCAGATTTGTGAGGGTCACAGTTAAAAATACACACCAACAGCACAGAACCGCAGGGGAGCAGTATAAATAAGTTAAAACAATCGGATATTATGGATTTACCTCTTAGAAAGAGGATTTCATGCATAGTCTCTGTGCAACACTTTAAAATTAAATATACAGTAGTTAACATGCTATCGGTATTTAAGCTAACCACCCTCATATACAGTAGTTTTCTTTTATTTCGGTATTTCAATACTGGCATAGATCTGCATTCGGTCCCTGAATCTTGAAAACAATATGCAAGACGCACAGTAGTTTCATGCTGTGTTTGAAGCACCCAGAGAGCTGATGCTGGAACTGAATGTGGGTTATCCACTGGCTTGCCGAGCATAATTCCTACATGTAAAATGATTACTATGGCTACAAAGGCCCCATTGATGACGAGCAGCCTGATAAATGAATTGCTATTCACAGCACTTGCCTGCATGGAGACTGCACTCTCCCCTCTCTGCGCTGCCTTGGTTTTGCATGTATCAGACAGGATATCAAGTCACATCAGGTTTCGATCCAGGTTGTCTGGAATGGGTTTGTGCTTGATTGTAGGTATCTTTGTACCACATGTGTGGGCTTTCTGTTCAACGCAGTTCCTGCCATCACTGCATAAGGTTTCTCATGCAGGATGTAAGTTCTGTTATACACTCGTATCCTGTGTGCACGGTGCATGGCAAAACCTGCCCAGTTTCCTGCAATTCCATGTCATTACCCAACCTGCCAATCCCCTCAGCTAAGCCAAAAATGGCGTAAATTAAAAGCATCTAAACACTTTCTTTCCAGCAGGAACACTAGTGCAGCAGGTTTTTCACAATGCGTGGATACAGTACCATCTTTCATCCTGGCTGGCCTTGCTCTGCATCGGAGAACTTCCATGCAAGGGTTCTCGTTATATCACTAGTTTTAATGCAAAATACCGAGGCACACAATGCTAAAACAAAGGGCTTTGTATTGATGCCTTGTTTTGTTTCTGCTCCATTAGGAAGCAGAATAAATTTTACACTAAAATTAAAGTTCGTCATCAAATGACTGTCTAAAATTCTAAAATACAAAAATAAGCATATTTTCATATTATTGTAGTTCAGGCTACGGTTAGTAAATATTTACATACACGTAGCAGCACAAATGTCACAATATTTAATTTTTCAACGTTAAATTTTTACAGTTTCACACAGAAAAAGTTCTAACAAGCAATTCATAAGCCGAGTGGAAGGAAATACCTGCATGTCTTTACTATGACCACACTGGAATTCATTTCTCCATTTTTTGGACACGTTTCAATACAAAATAAAGATTTTGGTTTCTCTTTGGTCTCAAACTGCTGAGGATTCTCACAGGTCACTACATTTTTGGAGTCTGACAACACCATGGAAACAGACAAAGAAATAGAATCCTACTACTGAGTTTTCTCATTTTAACGAATGAAATCAATCTACCAAGCAGTCTATGCCATGTTATTGGAAGTTCAACTGCAGTGTACAAAATAACAGACATAGAAAAATGACACATTTTTGCATTGTACTCTAAGTTAAATGATTAAGAAAAAGTTTACAGCCCAGAGTTTGCATTTCTTTCTACACTGTAAAAGAACGTTTTCCAAAATTGTTCTAACTGCTTAAGACTTACGTACAAAACAAAATCGATCAACTCATTTTGCCTTAAATCCATACTAACTGGGGGTGAGGTCTGCTAAATTAGAAAACCTTTATTCGATTTAGCTTTTTTTTTTCAAAACAGCTGAAAAAATCCATCTGTTTCACTTCCTGAAACCATCATAATATTCAACATATTTTCAAATATATCTGACTTCTCCACAAACTGGAAATTTTTTTTTTATATTACTTATGAAAAGATGCCTGTCCCTTCTGGCAAATTCAGATACCTTGGAATCAATATTTCTTGCAATATTTCTGTAAAAGTTCTTTCATCTCATAATCGACCCCCTTTGGCAAAACCCTGAACACAATCTGAGCCGCTAGATGAACCTTCCACTTACTATTATTAGACAAATGGCCGCTATCAAAATGAACATATTACCTACAGTTAACCTCCTGTCCACAATGATCCCTGTCACCCCCACAAGTAACTGTGAATCAAAATTCAAAATCAAAAAGATTCTCTCATTACTACAGTTTGGAATAACACATAACCTCAAATTAAATTGGCATATATTACAGAAAGAAAATGAATTTGGTGCACCTAATAAATTACATTATTATTAAGCAAATCAACTTCAATACTTAATAATTGAATCTGCCCAAACCAACAACATAATCCCTTGATTAGGACCGAACAAGTAGAATGTGGTTATTCATGGTTTCTCAGCAAATCCATAAGGCATCACACTCTTTAACAAAACTCTGTAGTCTCTACAAGTCTGTTGGCTTGGTGAAAAATAAATTCAATCACTACTTTTCTAACGACACTTTGTGAGTGATTTGGCTCAATCCAGATTTCCCGATAAACAAATAATCATTTATTTTTATTCCATGGAGACAAGAAGCAATCTCACATTTACAACACATTTTGGGGGATAATACCCTCCTCAGTTTCTCAGATCTGAGCCAAAAGTATGGCATCAAAGAAAAACATGACGTGTAATATTTGAATTGAAAAATGTTATGAAGACCAAGATGAATATTATATATAACCCTCTGCAACCATCGCCACTGTTAGAAAAAAATGAACATCTAATTTAAAAAAATTGTTATCCAAACTGTATAAAATAAGAGATGAGACCATGTACCCTTCCCACTAAGGGATGGGAAAATTATCACTCTATCACCACAGATGCAAATTTCCAGACTAAAATCTATATCAACACGTTTTCTATTACTAAAAATATCAAAATATAATTAATTCAATTTAAAGTTATTCATAGAACAAAAATGTTTAACACAGAGTTATATTGAATCAGTTAAATACAGACAATGCACCTTAGAGATTTCTGACAATTACTTCCATGCCATCTCACTGTGTTCTCCAATCCAACAGTTCTGGAAAAAAGTCATCAAAAAACATCAACTTTTTATGAATAGCAGCTTCCCACTCTCCCTGTCCCGATGTCTACTTGGTGATATCTGGCTCTTACGCGTCACCCTCAAAAACACCAAATCAATACTGATCACTCCATCCATCACCCAGAAAACAATACTTTCAAACCGGAGAACTAGACACAAGATCACAATATTTCAGTGGTTAAAACCTTCTAATAGAATACATATCCACTTGATAAGATTACAGCTCCTTATAAAACTCAACGTCAAAAGTTTAATGAAACTTGGAATCCATTCATTATATCTCTAAATCTGCTGGTGGATTAATGTAAAATACTGTACGTGCTCAGATGCATGCATAGGCATACTTTCATACATATTAAAATCACACATTGGAAAACATAAATAGACACCAATACTAAACACTAAAATCATTCTCTGCACAGTGTTACATTATATACATTTATACATGTCTATATTCTGACATAATCCTTCCTGCTTGTCTGATTACAGTCATTTTATATATATTTTTTATTTATCTTGTGTATGCAATATGCTCAACTCCATATTACTTTTTTTTTCTCTTTCCGATTTCCACTTTAAGCACCCATCCAGAGCCTCAATAAGACATGGTTATAGTTCTTTCTCTTTCTTTCTTTTTCCCTTCTTTATCACAGATTCTTTCCTAACCCCCCAGACATGTCACATCAGTTCAGTCTGTTTGCTTGTATGTACACCGGCCTGTTCAAGATAATATGAAAAAAGAACTAACAGCTGGCGATTTAGACTTAATTCTGTGACAAATTTCCAACCCTGATGTGAGCCTTGCTTTCATTTCCTGTTATCTAAATGCATCCCAGCACTTGTTAGGCAAATTTTCAAGCTTGAAACCATTAAAACCTGTTGTTACGGCTTTTAAAATACATTAGGAAGTCAATGAATTTCACTTCTGATATACAGCCCATTCATGATGCAGCCTTATTCTTTAACTTGACATGAACGATCCTAAATACAGTACCTATAACAACGAAGTAAATTATTTTAAAATAAGATACAAAAGGTAGCAAAAGATATAAAGAGTTGGTGACACATTGCACATTGTTTTTTTAATTGAGCATCAGTACTAGTTCTGACTCCAACAACTGTTAAATGTTTAGCTGTTGCAAAAGGCTTTGTTTTATAACTATGGTATAAAAACAACACCAAGCAATCACATATTCAAGATCATCCATATTTTGAACAAAAAATAAAGGATGTAAAAGATCATTTATTTCAGACAGGGGCATAATTTAATGTAGAATTGTTGTTTATTTGTAATTTAAATATTCTTGGTATTATTGTTCACAGTAACTAGGGATCACAAAGTGGCAATGACTTTAAGAACTTACTATATCGGAATAGATTGAACTTCAATTTCAGAAAATGGAAAAAAATCAAAGATAGTTTAATTTTGTTTTTTATACAAAGCATCTTTTTACAGCCATTAAAGAAAAATGTACAAGAACTGTAGTTTATTCAAGATGCTGAGATGTAGTTAAAAGATGTTAATATTAATGTAGAATGTTAAAATACATAATTGTAGATTCAAAGCATAAATGGCTTTAGACTGGCAGTTTCATTTTTTAGAAACGTAAAATATTACTCTATCCAGAGTCTCACAAGATCAGCCTTCAAAGCCCTGAACTTTCAGAGAGATTATTTAATCCTCTGTGACAAAAATGTAAATTCAATCATCGAGATGTAACAGTGAGATTTCCTATTTGAAGCCTATATCTACAGTACAGTACACAAAGTAGGTCTGTCCCCAGGATTTATATACAGTATAGCTGACATTGCTATCCTTTTTTCTTCAATTATTTTGCTCCTGAAAATTACCAGACATTCAGGAATTGTTGTCCTTGCAGTTTAGGAAAATTAAAATAAAACACTGCTGCACACAGCCCATTTCTTTTCTCTATAAGGTGCGTGTACCTGTTTCTCGATCTTCAATCAGATCAATCTATGCCAAGTGAAAGGTCTTAAGCAAAGCAACCCTTAAAAGCTTGTTTGCTTCCAACTAAGCAACTGCTCCAGTTATTCAGATAGGAGGCAAATCACATAGATTCATGCAATTAAAGAACATAACATCTGCTGGGAAATAAAATGTATACCTCTATGCACCTAATGGTTTACATGCCTGTATCAGCCCTTTTGGCCTTTTGTTACAATGCAGCTCAATATTGCTTTTTTACACAGTCCCTTAAAGCTATACATAATTATAATTAATCATTCTTTAATCCAATTCCTTTGATAATTAAGAACTTTGGTGAAAGTACTATTCTGTAAACCAAGCAGAGACCGGTGTGTCACAGACATCCGTACGTTTAAAGTGATCTATGTATTTCTGCAACACAATATTTACTATTAGTTAAATAACAACAGTGCTGCTCTCCGAAGCTTCTCAGTCCCACACCATGTATTGTGATGTTAATCATACAACTACCAGCTCCATAACTGCAGCACTTGTATCAAAACATACAGCTAATATCGCTTACATTTTTGTGTTTGAACTTCCAAATGCTCTTCATACCTGTATGTCACATTTACAAAGGCTCTTTAAGATGAATACCATAGCATATCAGCTATTAGATTTAATGACTTGTTAAAATAACATTGCAGTCTTAATTATCTTAAGGCAGTGAAATGTTTTTGTCTTTTTTCCCTGGATTTGTCTGCAACAAAAATTCAAAAGTCCAGCTGTCAGTCAGTTCTGTGGGTTTTCCTCACAGGTATGCTTGGCTTTCATAACAGTTGTAGTGAAGCATCACTCTAGATTATAAACAAGCACAGAGGATAATTCTCAAGAGCAATGTTAATGCAACTCAAAGTACAGTACCACGTTTAAAGTCACTTTTCACCTAACATATTTACCCAGAACAAACAAATGCATTTTCGAATTATTTTTCTTCCAATCTTTTTGTTGTCTTTTCCCCAAAACTTTAAAACGAAAAAGCCAGATTTCTGTGCATCAGAAAGTAAACAAAAAAAATCAGCCTTATTTCTTCAGTGAATGTGCATTTTAACACACTTCAGAATTCCATCGTTTCATAGAACCTAAGTCATGAAAGCTACAAAATAGAAAAAAACACATTTCTGTAAATTATTTGCTACGTATTTGTGTTTTAATATTGGTTTTACCATGAGCATAGTCCAAAATCTGTTAATTAATGCAAATGTCTTATGAGCCATCATTGATGTGGAATACCACTAAAAATAAGAGAATATGCAGTTATCTTAATTTTTTCATAATTCAAAAAGCACTTTTTTTCCATCCTTATCCAGTAGTTCCCCAGAACTACGGGCTTACGAAAGAACCAGGAGTTTTCATTGTTACTTAGATGACTGACTGGGCTTTTCTGGTACAGTGATGTGAATGGGCAACTATGTTAGACAAAATGAAAGATTTGCCTGAGTCCTATTGATTTTGGACCTCAGAAGTTTCCTAGCCAATATTAATAGCGTTACATTTTGTAAATTACAGCTGAAACCTCCCTATAACATACCATTAATTTAAAAATGTACAAAGCGATTAGCATTACATTGATGTATTTCCTTATATAGGCATTTCAATACTGTCGCGAAATTAAACACATAGTAAAAGTCCAGCTTCTTCTACAAATATTACAAAAACACGATTGTTTCATTAGAACCCTGGTGCTAAATAGTTTATTGAGATGTGAGACATCGTTTATGAAATAATCTTTAAAGTACAAAGAAGATACTGAAGCGGCCGTTTAGTAAGAGCAATCACTTTAATACATTAATATTTGGAAATTAAATTGTTTTCATTGCTGTATAGATCAGATCAGCATGTCTGTGTTTTATATCCACTCAGTTGTGTTGTAACGATTGAAACAGTACTGTTTTAAATAATAACTGTTCCACGTGGTTTTCTACTATGAACTGCAACAACACAGAGTAGAACTAAGCCATTGATTTGTATTGATCATTGGGTATTTAGAGAAAATGTTTATGTGCACACTTACTCAAGGTATATCAATGAAGTCAATATAAGCTAATCAACAGAGGAGTGCTACAAACCCATTCGTACCTAGCACGTCCAGTATATTACTTTATTTTAATGCCGTCAACGATTATTAATTTCTACAATATCTGTATATGATTTTCTACGTGTGTCAGCAGTCTATTTCTCTAATATCGTTATATTAGCTATTAAATTGTAACTCACACAAGCGAAGAAGAAAATGAAGATCTCGAAGCAATTGACATCATATAAGGTCCTAATGACGCATTTGTGAATGATGTGTATTTTGGCTTTGGTCAATTTCTTATTCTTGCTAAACAATGTAAACCATAAAATATAATTTTACAGTTAGACCACTCAACGTGAGGACGGTATAGCAACATACGATCTTGGGAGAAATGAAACAGAAACTGCACGATTGTAAAGTCGAGATTTCGACTGCTGTTGTCTTCAGATCCAAGAACATATTTTCTAAAGAACAACAAAAAAATGCCTTTTCAAGTCGTTTTTACTCCAGTAATGATGATGCTAGACACCATACAATGTGTTACGCTCACAGAATTAAAACTGATCAACTAAGTACTTAAAAAAACAAGAAAACTTTAAACCCGTGACAAATTTGTCTCTTTAGAGAAAACGCTTTAAATCGAGGACCACCACCAAAAATTGGTGGTGGTGGAGGGGAGTCCCCATTACCTGTAAAGCGCTTATTAAACTGCAGCAAACCTGTAGTTCGCGTGTTCATCTTAAAGGGAAGGTTTTAATTTCCAAGCAAAAATGGTAATGCTGCTCATTGAGTTTCTCAGAAAGGTAAAAATCGTGCAACAAAATATTAATCAACATGTTAGTATAGGTAGTATAGGTAATTTTGCTCTTTTAATTGTCCTTCACGTTGAAAGTTCGTCATTCGGCAATCACAGATACTTGCCCATCTGTCGCAATCTACAGCTCACCTAGAAATACAAGTTATTGTATACAGCTATTATACGGCACCTGGTTTTCCGTGTATCTCCCGAAGATAAAACTTCGACATAACGTCCGTATTGCAGCTTTGTTAACTGTTAACTTAAGTATAAAACACAGGCTTACATTTCAAGCTTTTTGAGTCTTGCGCCATTTCGCGGCAGAAAAACACGACACCTGAGAAATTTTACTCAATAAAACTTGGACAGCAGGAAGAATAAATTTGCCTTCAAGCACCAAAAAAATGTCATTTCAGTCAGTCCTGAGTCAACCGTCAGTGATTAACGGCAAGTGAAATGTGCTTAATGGAGAAAAACAGCTGAGCTCGCAAATCGGTTTTAAAAAGAAATGTACAGCATAAAGACACGCGAGTTCGTTTTTAGTTTAGCAGTCGTCTTCTTGTAATATTTTGGAAATGGACTTTAAAACTTACCCTACCTGAAATAATCCATTTTACAGAAAATCTCTTTATTTTTGATGTAGCAGCTGCTGTGCTGACGCAAGGAAGTTCTACAAACGGAACATTCCAGACATCTCACGTGCCAGATCAAATTATTCACCTGCAAAGTAACGAAATATTAGCAGTTAAAACATTTTACTCCTCAGGACAGCGAATAACAAACAATGCTCTTAGCACTCCAAGTGTAAAAAAAAAATAACGCGCCTGAGACCTAACAAGTCTTTTCTGTATTATTTTAATTAAAAAAAGAGAGTTGTGCGCAAATGTTTTTTTGTAAGAAAGAAGTTTTTCAAAAGCTCTCCCCCAAACCAGTATATAAGAGCAATACAAAATGGATAAGTTATTTTCGTTGTCCCTGTAAAAATGACTGAACGTTTTATTAAGTACGCAATGGAGATAACAACATCTGACAAATTGGACTTGGGAGATGACGAATTCATCACCTTACAGGATGTGTCAAAAATAATGAATTGATCTCTGACTTTTGGACACTACCGTTGCGTTACCTCTATGAAGTTACCGAAGCTAACAAATTACTGCAAATATAAAATCGAGTTTACAGAATCCCATCGCTCAACTTTAAACAAAAAAAGCATAATTATCAACAATACGCCTTCTTCTAAGGTGAATAAGAGGGACCCGTCTATTTAGGCAGTGCCTGTGGGGCTACATATATGCACATTAAAAATAACCCCCACCCCTGAAAAATAAATTCGATATTACTTTAGCCCAATCGCTATACTATATTCGACATATAATCATTTGGCTTATTATAGTACTAGACTAAACGCTGACTATAATAGGAAATAGTGTTGGCAGTTAAGAAAAAATAATATACAATCTATAAGTATCACCCAAAAAATATAACATATAAGGAACCCGCAAGAAACAAGTGTTAGCCTTGTGGGTTAAGATCCATTATGGTTTACATTTCAATCTCAGATCCAAAATGAAGCAAAGCTAGTCATTTGCATGCCAAGTGTAAAAGAAAATATTTGAACTGTATAATCTGGTGCAATATATATACTATATGCATCCATATAGAAATTTCCTACAATACGTGCAGCGCTTTTCCTGCATGGCTCAAGTCTACATGCCTAACACTGCCTCCTGCGCACACAAACTGTGTCCTCACACGAAGTGCGTGGAGGCGGTATCTAGCTTGACATTGAATTTCAAAGAAAGCGGATATATGTCTAGATAAAAACTACAATCTAACGATTTTGGAAGGGCAGTAAAATCAGTTAACCGCACCGTTTGGCAAAGTGACTGCAGGATTCCCGGTAGCCCATCGCATCTCTGTTTTTTTTTTACATTTTTACACATTGCCTCATCATATGTGTAGATTCTACCCGTAATCAAATAAAACGAATAAACAACGGGTTTCTCTCTGCGAGCTGTTTTTCTGTGCAATTTTAGGTAAGGCGTTTAAGATTAACATACCCCGTTAACTTCTAACATTAAGGCGTTCGCTCAAGTCGCTTGCCAGAGCAGAAATAAAGGGTAAAATAATCACGAAATCATAGGATTTAATTAAGATTGCACATGTTAGCACAATCATTTAGGCTTACTTTGAACAGAAGCTTTACACGGGCTTTCGGCGTTGCTCTGCGACCTGATGGCTTTTAATTATTCTATTATTAGTCATAGTACAGCATCAAACAAAATATGAGAAGCCTATTAAATTTGGGAAACAAAATGCCTCTGAGCTTATATATCGGTTTAGGCTATTGTATATGAGGCAAATCTAATGTAAGCCAAACCGTATTTAAATAGCATAACAAATGAACAAGAAAGGTCAGCTGTAGGCTGGTTGTCAGTGGTCCATTTTTTCAGATGCCAGGCCCTAGTATCAATATGATGTCCAACAGGTCTAGGGGTATATGATCATAGCTGTATATCTTGAGAACAGAATTCCTCTTTGTCTCATAAAATGCATGATTCCAGCAGTTACGGAACTTTAATTTGGTCAAGGAACGGTAGAGGGGAGAAAATGAGCTTGCTCCAACTTCACTGACACTGAAGGCACTGCAAGCGGAATAACGCAGCCCACCGTCTGTCTGAGGCAACCGGAAAAAAAAAAGATTCACTCCGGATTTCGCTGGTGTCAGTGTGTGCTGGTCGCAGACGACTAACGCACCTTGAGCAAGTATCTGTCAAGGATTTCCAGACCGCAACTGGCACACAAGTTCTTCCCTGTAGAAGGGACAGACGAGGACGATGAAGGCGGAGAACATATCGAGGGTGTGGACGGAGGACTGGGGGAAGACCGAGCGTCCTCCTTATCCATAGTCGACCGGTGAGATTCACCATCCGAGTGGGACTGCAAGAGGGGGGAAAGCGAACGCAAATGTTTCAAAACACGCACAAGACAGAATGAGCAGTAAAAACCTCTCCCCCAAATCACATCAAAACCCAGGCCTGCTAATACGCTAAGTCGAGCAAAAGGTCGCGTATCTGTCGCCTATCATGCTGCAAGACAGTCCACAGACCACTGATATTAGTCAGCTTTAACTTTCCAGAGGAATTATATTTAAAAGGTCCTTGGCGACTTGTGTTACAAGTCTTAAAGATAGCTACAATGCTTTTGTCTCCTGTGAAAAGGAGACACCTTCGGTTTCCTCTCGGTGTTTCTGATTTACGTAAACATTTTGCAAGAAGATGGTTTTAACATAAGACGTCCGGACTCGCAACCTGGACGAACACAAGAAAAGGCGGAAAGAAAAACGCGTTTCTAATTGTTTCGGCAAATCTCAAAACAAGAACACCAAATATGAATATGCGTATTTGCAGAAACCTTTATATTTTCAGAGTTAAAATCTACGTGCTGTATCCCAGGCTGCGAGCAAGCTGGACTGTGGGTCGAATACTTTCAACATTGACCGGCATAAACACAGATGGATTTTCAAAGCTATTGATTAAAAGTCTTTTGCACCGCTACCAATTCAAAGACCGTAGCCGTCTCATAAAGCGGTAAAGGCTTCAGTTTCGGTGAATTCTTTTTTTTAAGAAAACGTGTTCTATCAAAAAGAGCTTCACAGAAAACGTACACAGGCCGAAGCTGAGAAATATTACAGATCGATCTCTTAACATCACATAATGTCAGATAGAAGTCAATAATTCAGAGAACGGCACGCTTTTAAAATATTTACTCACCATTATCTGTGAATGTTTGCTCTCTACACAGCGGGATGATCCTTGTGTGTTCTGTATTTCTTGAGAAATTACCTTCAAGACAAATTCGACAACAGTGCCTTAATATAAAGTTAACTGCCTTTGGTTCTTTCCCCTACATTAAATCTTCGTGTTATTTTGCGCCCTATATAAACCACCCAAAACAATAAATAAGAATTTCTACTGTGCATTTAAACCCTCTGCAACAAAAGCCCCCTTTTTTAATGAAGCAATTTGAATTTGGATTGATTTTTTTCCTGCACTTAACCCGTGCCTCTTATAGTAATCGTTTAGTTCCCATGCAATCCAAGGCACTGAAAAAATAAACTACCTGCAATTAGAAATTGCTTGAAATGGCCAAGATAAGAGGCATCCAGAGTGTCAATTTCAACTGTCAATCAGAAAGGCATCGGGCCACCCAAAGAATTGCAAATTTGATTTTTAATGGCAGTAATTAAAAATCGAATTTTTCTTAGCAGAAATGCGATGTGAAGTGGTTGGATTGGAAATCACACTATTCATAAAAAAAAAACACTATTTCCAGAACTCGCAGCTGATCTTTACGCCTGAAAGGGCCAGTGATTTCTAGATCTATAGCGTCACTTTAAGATAAAACCTCAACACATTTTCAGCTATTAAGACAGCATTCAAGGAGAGACAAAACCGGCGCGTTTTTACTTATTCAGACCTATGATTATTGCTTTTCATTCAAATGGATAAACATAATCTGCCTAATTTGCTTGCTTGTATTTTCGGATTTGCAAAATATTTAACGTTAATAATCCAAATGATAGTAAGACGTCATTTTATTATTATTTTAAAGATGGCAAGAACGCAAATGTATTATTTTAGCCCCCCAAAAAGGGGACAAGAAAACAATAACGCACATTACAGAGAAATAAAAGGGGTTAGTTAAGCTATAAAGTTATTTTCTGTTGTACGGAGCAAATACAAACGCGATTGTTACCTGTTTAGTTGGAATTCCTTCGGATAAAAGTTTATTGCCCTCAGGGAGAGGGGCCAAAACTTCATTTTTCCAATACATGAAAAAAACCCACGATAAAACGCCTGTCCTGGACAGATCCAAAGTTTGATCCCAGTGTTCCAGAAATCCTCTTTTACAGCGAAACGGTTGTACTTTCATAAGAATAGATGGGCGAAGGTGATATCCTCAGCGTGGTGGATCTGCGACAACATCAGTGATAAACCAGAAAAGGGACCAGAAGATTTCTTTTTTTCTCTCTCTCCCCCCCCCACCCACCCCCCCACCCGCAAGAGCAGTCCTGCAGCACTTTCGATTTTAGGAACAAGGAAAACCCGAGCACTGACAAGCGAGGCTCAGGCTCCTCAGCAGGGCTGCAATGTGGGGGGGTTGTTGTTCTGAGCGCCTTGTTTAGAGGAGTTCGTCAAATTCTTCCTTCCACCTTTTTGTTTTTTTTTTCCTCCCGTTGAGGATGGAGTTGCAGCTACAAGGCAGGAAGTCGGTGAAATGAAGTCGAGGGGGCTGGCGGGGCAAGTCTGCTGCTCCCAGTCTCCTGTGAAGTGCGAGACCATCCAGACTCGTGTCAGAATCACCTTCTCGCACAGCTCCAGAGGGGTGGTAAAAGTTTTGTCGCACACTCTGGATCAGTGGGCGTAGCAGCAGTCATAGGTGGAAGAAAAAAAAGACACAGCCAAGACTATATTCCTAACTTAGAGAGTTCAACGTAGACGAAAGTTTACTTACATATATGCACAACAGAGATAGAGAAAATAGTCCAGCTCTCAAACGTCAAAAATACCAAATGGCAGATTTCAGTGTTTACATGACCACTATTTCAGCTATGTTCGTTGTTTTAAACCGTGACCTGTTAATCGATTCACAGAGCTGTCTTTAAAGCAATTGCACATTTTTTTTTTTGTGTGTGGTGATGGTGTCGTGATTTGTGTCTGTGCTAACTTTTAAAAAGGTGAGAACCGCGGCAGGGTTTCTGACGGTTCTGGTTCTTTCTTTTTGACTTGATAAAGCATCCAGCATCTGGTGTTTTAAAAGCGACGGTAACAAGCTCAGGACAGGGCTCCACTGAAGTTTATTAACCCAAAAGAATAAGCTGGTCAAAGTTGAATACTTTTTAGAAAAGTAACCAAACTGATCCCAAGCAGAACCCGGTGCTTAAAACGGAATTCAAGGATAATCTCTGAGCAAACGCTGAGTGTTAACCCATTGTGTGCCAGATCTAAATTCATGTGGGAAACACCGTCATCCAAATACATTTGTTGGACTAATTCTGCGTCTGCTAAACACGGGAAGATGTTGGGACCATCTCACAAAAAAAGAGGAGTCTCCAGACGCTGAAGAGACCACGCACACTAGCGTTCGCAATAGATTCGGAACACCGCACACTGATGGGCAGTCTTTACTGTTAGTGTTGATGTCCTGTACTTGCATTTGTTCTTGTCTTATTAATAACAAATATTAAAAATGTACGACAATGCAAATAGGACATTTTAATAATTCACTGCTTGCTCTTCAACTTACGTGGCACTTGTTAAAACATGTTTTTGCACTGGTAACCTCGTGTTTAAAAGATAGTTAGAACGTGATATTACAGACCCCTTGTCCATAAACAGTCCTGCCAACACGTCCGAAAAAATGTTAGCGTTTATAACACAACATTGCATGCTAATAAATGTGCCTGATTTATACCTCATAGATTGTATTTTATGAGTTATCCGAAACTGCGTTTGTCGAAATATCGCTGAACTGAACAGCATAGAAAACTTGCTGTCATCCTGCAAAAAAATCTACTTCTAACGTCAGTGCGTTTCCATATGAGAACAGGGCGATTTTGTAGTAAACTCTACACAATATGTTGTTTAAAGAGCACAATAATGCATTTCACCTGTTGGGCAGCAGATAGTGTTTGCGACATAATGCTTTTTTTTGTCTGTAAGGGTGATTTGAGTCCCATTTGGTTGTTCAGATTTAATTTGAAAAAGACAACTTTGTGTCCTCATGATTTTGATGTAGAATAATAAATACACAGACCGGCGTGCGCACAGAATTGAACATGGTGCGCAGTCTTCCAATACATACTGTACATGAAAGTACTTGGGCCGGACAGATGTCTTTTGGAAGTTTAATAAAAATGATCTTTATTTGAAAAGCACGATCTTCGAAGTCAAATTCAATTAGGAGAAACTTTTCTTCCTGTAGGGGCGAGGGAATAGTTCGCACTGAGACAGTAATTTGGGATTGTGCTCCAACCCGTTAATTATTTTGACCAAAAATACTTCCCCGCCTAAAAAATGCGTAGTACATGATCTTTTCGAGAAACAACGATCAAAATATAGGCGGGTATCGAGAGATTAAACACTGTTCTTAGACGCAGATGTATTTGAATTAGGGGCCTTAGTATTTAAAGCCGTAATGGACATGATCAAAAGAAATGCAAACTTCTTCTGTAGTTAGTGTTTTCGGATGCTGCGGTATTTCTGCCCGTCTACAACATAGCCTACCTGGCTTGAATAATGACGATTGATAAGTGCCTTGAGAAACAGAATTGTTAGGAATAGTATTATTATTATTGTTGTTATTATTACAAATGTAATCGGCTTTTTCAAATAAACGTTATTTTGAAAAGGCCGGTATGTTCGTCTTCTTGAAAGGAGTACCCGAGCACAGGAGATGACAGACCAGAAATTGTAACACATCCTTAAGGAAAACTCCCGCAGGTTTTGAAAACACGTCTCAAAATATCACAACTCTCAAGACCTGGAACAACCAAAGGTGGTCGCAGAGCGTACTGTGCGTTTAATATGTTGTGTCAAACACTCAATGATTTTTTTACATGGAATTTCCTTCGTAAACTCGTCAGTACCTTATAGCTCTGCGAGCGAATAGCGATGCTTCGTGGTGCTTGTATGAAACTTAAAAAAGATGAATTCTCTAAAGGTATATGAATAATTCTTTTTTAATACATATTTTAGGGCACTCTGATTAAGTCCTCTTAACACACACGTTGATAAGAACCGTAATCTCGTTTATATGATTATGCTTAATGCACATTTTCCAGATGTTAATAGATCAGGTATTAATAAAAATTGCTTCAGCATAACAAGAGCGCCCTATTTTAGAGGAAAAAGAAAAATAGGAAATGGGGTTCAAGGTACGAGTGGTTGTTAACATTTGTAGTTCGATATACAATATAAAAATCGATTTTCTCACTGCCGCTACAACTTTAAGACGCAAGGAAAATACCTTTCTCATCCAGAATAATGTCTGCTCCTACGTTTGGAATAAAACTTTTCGTGCCAGCAAAACAAGCGTGGAATTAAAAGTATCTGTACCAAAAAGATCCTTTACAGATCCGAAATAACGACTTGAGAGCACATTCAACCAACTTATTTTGTCGAACAACAACCGTGTATGCAACAAATTCAATTTTTTACTTTTCATGCTGATGCGTTATCAGTCATGATCCTACACAACGACACATTTTACCCTCTTTGATGAAACTGAGAAGAAAAAGCAAAAAAAAAAAGTAGGCGAGACAGTTCAAGAAGGTATATCTTCCGTAGAAACTATACGTGAGCTTGCATTAAAAACAAAACAAAACGATAGACTCTCCCTGAAAACAAAATATACTGTAAGTGAAACGCAGGACTCAAATCCTGCTGGTGCAAATTGAAAGATTAGAAAACATTTAACGAAATGAATCCCTCAGCAACCTCCAGATCATACACAGTACGTAGTAAATAATATAATGGGTTTTCTAATTTTCTTCTTAGGACAGTAGGACTTATTTGAACACGGTCCTTGTAACTACCCCACCTTCACTCTGCCATGTATGAAGTAGTCTTACCAATGTTTTAGGCCAAGGAGGTATTGTAGGCAAGTGGGTATAGGGCTCAACTGGGTTTCTAACTGGCTTAACGTGCACTGACTGTGGCTGTTCATCCTAACCTAATTTTCCTGTTCCAGCCCATGGGAATAGTGGAATCAATTTAGCTTTCCTTCATGAACTTCAGCCTTGATTGACACATTGGCTATCAATCAGATGCTTGTGATGTAATTAAGGCAGGCACCCGTCTAGCTGGGGGAGACAGGACCCACTACTGATCAGTCCTATAGCAGGTAGGGGAGAATTCATATTGAGACATGGAACTCCGAAGGCAGTGAAACTTATACCCATTAGTAAGAACTAAATTATGCCCATCCTGAAATGTTTAAACATTCACTACGCAAGGAACGTTTTCCAGCACGTCGCCCAGATCGATCAATTTCTAAGTCAATGTTTGCTTTGTGGATTTTTTGCAAGACGTTTCAATTACATTTTTAAGTCTTCCTGATTCTCATTTCTCTTTTAAGTTCACTGCCACGTCATAACTAAAACTGATGATCCCAACACATGAAGGTAGATTTCTTTTGCAGCTGAGGGTAATGTATTCCACTAACACTGGAATACATTAAATAACTAAAACCACTCACTTCCACATCAGCATTATAATGTACTGAGCTTTAATTGAACTGATGAAGCCTATACAAATGAAATACATAAAGTGTTCATAATCTAAATCTACATCAAAAAGTTACACCTGTACAAAACTGTTGCTATGGTTTAACTACTGTTGCCTTACACTGTTTGCTTTAAAAGTTGAGTGGGTAATAAAGGTATTTATTAACTATACATCCAACACTTCTTCCCTTTAGGGCATCTCAGTTGGATTAGAGATATTTCCTTTGCACTACTGTGCTTTATGGAAATAATCATTTGAAAGTGTTTTACTTCATTTTCAAATACACTGATCTGTATTTCTTAGACACTCTACAAAAAAAACGTGGTAGGTAAGAGTAGAAAGCAAAAATGCTTTTCTGACTGCAAAGATTTGTGTTTTAAAATCCAAAAAACAGCTTTGTAAAATAGCAAAAACTATACAAGACTCCCCACGTTCTCCCCAACACATCACAATTTCACTAAAATGCTATTCCCAAGAATACAACCTTGTGCGCTCAATTGTATTAATCCTGACAAGTTCATGGGTCAGTATTAGATGAAAATCCTTCAAGACAATGCTTTGGGTTCATTGACATTTGAAGCTTTCATACCATCCTAACACAGAGTTGAAGATTTCTGCTTTACAAACGTAGGGAACTCAAGCAGACAGAGATTTGCTGCTTCACTGAGATATGATCATGAAAAGGTTCTTTCATCAGCTATACTGAAACTCCCCAAAATTAAAATACTGTTTTATACTTCAGGAAAAAAGTGAGTTTTGGGAACTATATTTTTCAAACACAGGGACTAAATCACTCCTTTTTTTTTTTGCTCCAGATGTTATGATAATAATTGAACTTCAGTGAAACAACATGAAAATTCACAACAGTCTAATTTAATTTGCACTTCAGTTACGCCTCATTTTTATCATGTTAAAACACACAACACAGATACTGTTTCATAAACAGGTCACCTTATTTCAGTGATTAGGACCTTAAAGTTGTCTTTTGTGTTTAGAAAAAAAGCAGTCCTGATAAAAAACTACAAGTTGAAGACTCTGAATTCCACCTATGGTGAGGTAACGTAATTACCACGAGTTCAAAAACAATGTCTTTCTCCATCTGCAATATTTGGACTCCTACTCCGGCTTGGCAGGTTCTCAGTTCTTTCTTCTGATTTCAACCCAGAAACCTTTGTTTTACAAAAGGCAGATCTGCTTCTCACAAAGACTGACATCAGTGCCATTTTGACAATCACAGCATGGCCACTGGCAGACACAGAAATGTAAAATACAAAATGAACCTGTACAACCACAACATTTACATAAAGATGTGAGTATTAAACCAGAAATCTGGCATAAATAACCATGAAAAAAACAGCAGGTCATCCTCGTAGTAGTTATCTCACAAGTAGGACAAAGAATAGCCTAATGATATTTTACAAAGTGTGATGACATAACTGACAAAGCAAGGGTTCCACAAAATATATCTAATAAAAACTCTCAGACAGTAGTAAAAAATACTGGAATACAAAAAAATCCATCCTAAATATCAATCTTTCTACAAAACAAAAGATTGGATTGCTAAAATTATAATTAACTGTGCTTTGTCAGTGCCAGCAGCCACATTGAGAAATGAAGCCTATATGCCGTACAGATTGGTGACTGCTGAAGAGAGTAGGATTGTATAACCAATTCTGCCTTAAAAAGATCTTACATTTCACAATAAAAATAAAAATAAAAATGGTTTTCATAGTAGCACTTCTTGCGGTCCTTCTGTTTCCAAATGCACACAGTACAAAAGATCAAAGGGTTCTAAAAGGGCTGCAGAAACACCAGTTCCTTGATGTAAATTTCCCCTTTGAAACCGTCATCGTTTGTATCTCCGAGTCTGCTTGTGGTAAGGAGCAGTCCGTTTTTTATCTGTGGGTTTATTGTACAGATATGGTGAGGGTCCTGTGTAGTTGTCATCCGGGTTGTTTTCCATCATTTGCAGCTTGGCCTCAATAGCTTTTATTTTTGCATTAACGCTGCAGAGGAGGGGGAAAAAATAAAAGGCAAGTAAAAAAAAAAATCCATTAGAGAGAAGATCTTTAATCTCAGTGCACCTCACTTTTTAGGTAACTACTGACGCCCAACATGTACATTTCACATACATTAGGGCTAAAAAGATTGGCATTTTTACTATAACTCAATAACTCAAAGATTTGAACTAAGAATGACTTCTCCCTTTTGAAATATTGCACACGTCCATCGGGCTAAAGAGAGGGGCAATACAGAAGAATGTGCCTTCCACACCGCCCTTAAATTGGTTGCTGGCAAACAGCATGTGCAAATCAATGCCGTATCCTATGAGGTTAAGCCAACAGGCGATCTGTTAATTATCCACCAGCCACGCTCCATTGCTGTTTTGCCCAGCTGGAAGCTTCTGCCACTGCTCCACGGTGTTAAAGACGCCTTGGTAATCAAGCAATGTTGAGCCACTTCTGCACCGCCACTTGGACACTGCAGATATCACCGAAGTTCTGATCTTGGAGGAGCTTGGTTACTCAGGTCAAGCAGGTGAAAGTCCGACGGTGAATGATCGGCACTACGAAGGGCTTGAGTTGAACAGCTACTCAAAGCACGACACAGCAGTCCACACCGGTTGTGGGCACAGCTACACGTTGCCGGCTGATGTCCTTCACCCCCCAAGAGATCCAAGTGGCAGTGCAGGAGCAACTCAAGGAACAGCCACTTCTTCCAGTTCAGGTTTGGTAGAGAGCCACGGGCCTCTCCTGGGCAGGCAATAGGTGCAGGGGAGGGTACACCCTGGATGGGACGCCAGTCCATCACAGCTGACATCTAGGGCCAATTTCCAAGAACCCAATTAATCTACCAGCATTTTTCTGGAGCACCCAGAGGAAGCCCATGTGAATATGGTGGGAACATGCAAACTCCACACGGACAGCACCACAGGTTTGGAACTGACCCCAGTGCAAGGCAGCAGTGCTAACTACCAAACCACTTTACCACCCCTCAGGAAGCAACCAATCTGTTATTACTTTATTACAAGGGTGTCTTTCACTGGACTGACGTACTGTATATATATTCAATGGGAACTATGTTGAAAAAAGTCACCTTTGTTAATTGAATGACCATCTTCTTATTCAAATTATTTCTTCAGCAAATCACTTAATGAAAGGTACATTCACTGTGTTCGATTGCTGTTATAGATATTTTCTTGATACAAGATGCATCCCTACCTCAAGGTAGTTGGGCTCTCTTCAGTGCTTGATGATGGCTCTAGGCTGATTGGAAGAGCTTTTTCATTTCTGTATGGATCAAACCTCTGTCACAAAACAATCAAAGAGAAAAAGGAGTATTATCAAAGACTAGCAAATACAAACTGGAGATTTTCTGGATGTAGCTATAAATAGTATAAAACCTTTCACTCTGAAATTAAAAACATATTGCTAATGAGCAGTGCATATAGTCCTAGCTGGCAATTAATCTTATTTAAAAAAAAAAAACTTTGGAATGTAGTTGTTTGCACTATGTTTGGCCAAAAAGTCATTATGTCGAAGACATATGGAAGAGGCCACAATTTTAACTGCGTAGTTTGGTTTTATTTGTTTTCTTCCCCACTTGAAAACATTTCTGCTGGGATCTTATATCTTTCAATACTTTAAAAAAAACCTTTGGCAATTTTTTCCTCTGATGAGAATGATGATAAATGATGTTATTTGCTGGGTTTAAAACGGTATCCATGTTATTGGTTTGATTCCACCCTGTTGTTATTGCACCATAATGTGAAGTCTTTAAAATCACAGCAAATTAATTTGAATGCCTCTCAGTAAAAACATATAGAAATTCTAAGTAGTTTTTGTCCTTAGAATTTTTAATGGAATAATTAGCAAGATGAACAAAGCATCCCAGATCTGCAGCATCGATAGTCTGAAAAGAGCAGGGTGTAATTGTTAATGTAATTCAAGTTAACTCAAATGGAATTGACAATCTATGCAATGATACAAGGTATACGAGACACCATATGCTCATGCCAAATAATCCAAACAGTGAAACCGCGACCATTAGTAACTGAGTAATTGCTTGTCATCCTCAAAACTCTTGTCCACGCCTGCCAGTTGCTAAAACTTCATTAATCAGTGCTAATGATGCCCGTTTTCAAAACACATTTCATTACAAATGCCATGCGGTTGCATCACTGGGTTTACCATACAATGTTTTATTAAATCCCATTACTAGATATCTTGGAAAAAAAAAAAAGGGGGCAGTCCTTTTCTAACTCTGTGGGCCTCCCAAAATACCATCCCTGTGTTCTGCTTCCTCTGAGATGTTTTTTCTGGCAGGCGTTCAAACTTGTTTTTCAGCAGCGCTATGGAAATAGCTCTCGGCTGTTAACTTTTCCAATCCTGCGCCGTATCTCGCAGGTCCTGGTTTAGACACGGTGAAGTTTGTGGTCAGACTACAAAGGCTTTGTGTCAAAATTATAAATACACTCCAAACAATGACCCTCTTAAACATACCAAATCCTTCCTTCTGCCGGTGGAGAAATTAATTGGAAAAGCATGTTTTCTGAGTTAAATAAGCTGAACTATTGAAACATTTAAATTTGTATAATACTTCTTTTTTTTCTCCCCTGCCACCACTCTCTCTCCCCTGCCCAACATTTATTTGTCAGGATTAAAGTTTATAAGTTGTCATCACCCATTGAAAGGGTAGCTTATGAGATGTTGGACAAATGAGGATACTGTACATTTACATCGCTTGCAAATACCAGTCAAATATTGCCAGTCTTTTCTTAAGTAAACACACAGCAAAAAGAAAGCCATAATTTAGTGCAGTTAAAGGTGAAGGTATCGCTTTTTGCAAAAGACAGTACATTCTGCTCTCTAACAGGAGACTGCATATGCAATTTCTACAGCAGTGTGCATTAATGTCATGCTAGTGACATATGCCATTTAATAAACACAAAATCATAAGAAAAGTGAAATCGAAGCAAGTATAAACATTCTTCACTAAATATGTATAAACAATGGAAAGCTTTTGATATTTAAAAAGCCTATTTGTGGGAAATCTTGACTGAGGACGTGATAAGGCAAGGTTTTACAATTTAAAAAACAAAGTCACCTGAACAGTCATCTACAAAAGGTTCTGTGACAATATAAGGTCCGTGGGCTACAGGAAAACTGGAAAATCTGCAGTCAACGGTAAGAGTCGTTTCATGGTTATTAGTGTAACAAATGAATGCCGAACAAGTTTTAGACCAAGAGGCTGAAAGTACAAGTCTTAGCAATTCGTCCTGCATTTCGTCAAAGGAAAATGCCGACGTCAAAAACACAGTATCAGGACCATTATTCAGTTAATTTAAAAGCTCTACTCTAAAGAGTCCTGATGAAATAGTTTACTGATTTGAGCTCTTGATCCCATGATAAAATATCAAGACCTTAAAAAAATTCTTCAGCAACATACATGTATATTCCAGTTACTAAAAGTAAAGTGATTTTATTTTTTATAATATCTGACTGATTTTGTAACGTTACTGATTGAACGAAGAAACATAAAACCTAAAACCTAAAACATGGGTCCAGTTATATAATCATTTCAAATGACAAATGACCTGCTAGAACTAGGAACCACAGAGGCAAGACTGGTGAAGAATCCCCTTTGAGGAATGGCTGTACTGTCAATGGAACTAAAATAGTCGTTCAAGTAATGTGTCCAAGAAACAAGGCTGTCTCTCACAGCTGTCTCTGCTCTGCAACGTACAGTACATCTACGGTCTTAGTGTCCCCACACAGTGCGACTTGAGAGATCAAATTCAAGAAAATATGTGTAGCTAAAATGTGTTGGAGGCACACAGTTCTGGGGATTATCCAGGTTTCTTTTACATTATGTGAACGGAGAGTAGAAATTTCCTCTCGCTTAGGATGCTAGTCTGCTGTAGGATAGCTCACCAGCAAGATAGGTACACAGTAATATAGCAAGGTTGAAGGCGATAATCCTGCTTGCTCACATGTACAGCAGTTTCCACACTGGAGACTGGAACAAATTGGACTCTAATACGGGGTTCAGAGCTACAGCCTTAGTTGCGCCCAGCCTCGGTGAAACTGTACTGAGAAATATTTCACCACCGTGTCCACTCAAGCATTTTCCAAAATATTTCATCAATGAAAAACAGAAAAGAAGGGCTGCACTAGTCACTGAGTCACTTCAAAAGCATGCGAAGGGTCCTGCAGACGGCTGCGTCACCTTTGAGGATTCAGCTTGATCTTGGATGATGCATTCAAGAGCTCTTGTGAGGCACTTCCTTTCCAGACTCAATAGCCGTCTACGGGAGTAAATCCTAAACCTTTGCAGTTTGGGGTTGTTGTTTTTCAAATCGCTGTACTTACACATTTTTCTGCCCATACAATTACGAAAAAAAAACAACAACAATAAGCTGATAAACTTTCCTGTTACAACACTGCGTTATTTTTAGCCCTCGTTAGCAGCTCACTCTCTCAATGCATGGGGTTTCGAAAGGAGACGGCCATGAATGAAAGCTAATGCTGGTTTGTTGTTGTCACCAAGTCTCATGCATTAACCTTGAACTCCTCTTTGCAGCGTGCTCCCTTTGGGAACAACCACAGGAGATGGATTATTACATCCCATCCAGGATATCCTCACTTTGCACCGAGACCGCCTATTCTTAGAGGCTGGGGTTGTTACTGGAATGACAGATCTCAGTATTCGCTGCCCACCTCAATACTAGAATAAATAATTCAAATGGGTTCCCCAAAGTTTGACTATTTTTCACAGGGCAATTTTCTTGTCTTCCTAACTCACACTAAGGTGAGCAATCATTTGCTTGGGTAGACTTCAAAAGGTTTATAGAGAGGCATCTTTATTCACGAGACAAATCTTACTGTTTTTTTCCCCCAGACTTGTGAGGGCAACCAACTGTTCTAAACTAGATGCAGCTCGTTCAGACATCCTTAGATCTTGACTTACACTAAACTGTGTATCAGTATATATCATTTATTTTAGGTTCGTTGCACTAGCTGGCTGAGGATTTCAGAGTAAAACTGAAATGACTGCTGTTCACGTTTAAGGGCTTGAATGGTTTGGCTCCTCACTACATTAGTGAACTGGTAACTCCCTATAATATAAACCTACTGTACACTTTGGTCAATGGCTTTCCTTCTGTTCCCAAAACAAGGATCCAAACACGGAGAGATCTTGCTTTCTCCTAGCCCATATTAGATCTAATAAGGCATACTATACCTTCACATCTTAATACCACATTATATAGTATTTAATGCTGCTTAATGTGTAAAACTATCCTGACTATTTTATTTTTATATAGCTTTACAGCAGAATAATCTTTGACAGAGTAAGATGGACTGCTAAAACATAAAAGCTACTGGCTTCATTTTAAATGACACTATCACCCAGCCAGCCCTGGCAAAACCTGTTGGCTACTACAGCAGAATATTTTGATTTCACTCCCTGTCGTAACATTAGGCTTGTAAAAAAAAAAAAGGGAAAAGAAAAATACAGCCAGTAACTCCATTGCAATCATATCTGAACTTACACATAATTGATTTCATACATAATTTGAGTTAAGTGACCCAACTCACACTCCCGGACATTAAACCCTTAATCACTATGAAAGGAGAATTAAAGGCTACACATGCAGTTCGACGTTTGATGGAATATAAGCTCAGTGTGACAAGAGTACAAAGCTAAAAACAAAGATTAATGCCTGTCATCTGTTTGTGACCCATTGTTCAATTTGTTCAACTTAATTATCTTGTTTAATTCTGAGGAGTGCTTTTGAAGGACATTCACATTGTACTGGTAAAATGCCATTCACAGTGGACATTGCTGTTTTTTTTTTTACTTTCAGTAAAGAAGAAGGATTTCGACAGTTTTTCCCCCGGTCCAAAAAATTGTTTTAAAGGGAAGGTGAGCCAAAACGTTCTGTCCCTTGTTTTGAGATACATTTTACATTAAAAAAAGATCTGCCAACACTTGTGCGTCATGTAACTGAGGATCTGCGTTGTCTGCATACTCAGCTCTTCCTAGAGCTTATGCATAGTAGATTGAGCATCTGAAAAAAAATAATTGTAAAAAAATCCAATTTTCTATCATTTGGAGAGCCAGGCTGCTCCAGACCTGCAGACTGTGTGAAGGGGCAGCAGTGTGCTGAGAAACTGCACCTGCTGTTTGCGAAATAAACAAGACCCTCCAGGTTGCCTTTACTGACTTTTCTGAAAAGAAGAAGAGAAAAAATGCCATTCCTGGCAGGCCTGAGTTTGTAAAAAAAAAAAAGAAAGAATGGTGCCTTTTCCCAAACATTTCTACGTTCTCCCCCGACCTTTATAAACCCCACGTATTGAAATGCGAAAGGAGTTTGTTTTTGTAAAGCTCCTTGAGAAATATTTACTTTGACTTGCGCGTGTGCCCAACGAACCACCAGCTTCTTCGACAGGGCCAGCTTGCCGTTTAAACGCTGAATGGCTCGTTCTGCTTCCTGGAAAGGAAAATAAAGCATAAACGCAAAAACATCAGTTGCTGCACGTTACACTTCTTTCACCGAAGCTGAGAGTCTGTCAATTCACGCAAGGGCTCAAGATGGTCCGAGGATGAGCAAGATCGCAGAACGAAACCATATCATTCACAGAGCACAATCACACTGTTCTGAAGCATGATAACTGGAGCCGTAAACGCCAATCGGGGTATAAAGAAGACAAATATTACAGCTCAGTGGCAGACAAACTAAGCAAATCACAGAAAATAATTCTCTCTCATAACTGATATAATGTATAGTACCAACTATAATGCGAGAAGGTACAGGAAATGAGATTTTAGAACTACCCAGCTCAAAAACCTGAATAGAGTTTACTGTACCATTGTTTGGGAGTTTCAGTACATCCCTGAAATTTTGTAACATGCAGACTTACCACCTTAAAGGTTGCATGTTCTGCAATGCAGTCCCACTACACATTTAGAAATCTCATCTATTTATCTCATTAATAAAAATATTAGAAGTCTAATATTGGAGGACTCTGGATTTCCATGATATTTGGAATTAACAAGGGCCGTACAAATAAGCACAAAATATTTGTAGGTGAATTCATCCAACAGCTGCCTTTTCTCTTACACTTTATGCGTTGCTTTTGAATTGTGGCAAAGAATTAAAAAAAAAAAGGCAATAGGTTTGCCTTCTTATTTTTAAACTTAGCATTTACAGATTTTCTTTTCGGTCAACACCCACCCAACTGGGAATTGCCTATTTACAGCTCAAGGCAACAAGCCCTGTTGTTATAGCCAGACAGGGAGAATGAGGAAGAACAGACAGGCTTCTCTGAGCTGCCGGCTCATGGAGCTATTCATCTTTGGACACGTTACAAGCTCTACGGAGACGTGAGGGAGGTCATGCAGGAAGCTGCAGGCATTGCTAATTCACTGGAATCTACGCGGTGGCCAGCTTGTGCCAGCTCACAACATCTAGATCATAGACCTCAGCCTGTACTCTGAACAGCTGGCTTTGATTGGTGGAGCCTCTCCACACCTACCTTGTCAAGTTAAAATCACTACTGATTTTGACAGAACATGGCTGAAGCTGACGTACCTGACTCTACGCTTCTTACCTTAGATATTCCAAGACGTGACAGCACTAGTTGTTTTGCGATGTGCACCAAGTTCGTATTCCCTGATTTTTATGGGAGCATGAAGCTCTTGCAAAACTTCAAGAACAAAATGGAATGCATTTTGGTGCTCCATATTCAAGGAGATTCTGTTTTACTGGACCTTGAGGACGCTGTAAATAATTTCATTAGCCGGAGTGCAACAAGAGGAGACACATTCTCCTTAACAACAGCATGAAGCCTTCATTAGTGGTAAGGAATATTTTACTATTTCTTACCATTAGGGAAGGTGATGAGGGTTGTAGAGAAATGTATTGCTAATGTGAATACATTTTAAAACAACTACCTCCCAGTTATTCTGAAAACGTGGCTCCAATTTGTTCAACTGTGATCAAGCAGGTCTCCCTAGGCTTTCAGTGAGGACAGCGAGGGGCAGGCAGCTCCTCAAGTCGTGCTTTGCAACGGAGCTCATAAGGTGGCAAATTACAAATAGCTCTGCAGGCGGGATGGCAGAGGAAC